TAACCGTTCTTTTTATTTGTACCAGTCAAATGATTCAGAATACATTAAAATTACTTAGGGACAAAAAATGTATTGTAGTATGTAAATTAATATACTAGTATATGTAATATTAAACTAAAGTCTAAACAAATATTAGTAAGATTGAAGTAGTTAATATATTTGTATAAAAATCATGTAGGTATTAATAATTTTAATCTAAACACAGTGTTTATCTTGAAAATAATCTACCAAATTATTATTAAATTATAATGTAATCGATTTCACTATTTCAGTCAATTATTGTGGTTATAATATAAAGATAAGATTACAAAAACCGTTTATATTTAATAGAATTGTACCTTTTGCTGTCACTCAACAAATTGTGTTCACTATTCACTGTTTGCCTGCAGATAAGTTTAATTTGTAGTTTTATACTTATGTTTCATCGTCTTGTACACTGTTGTTAATATTTTACGTTTAATAATGTCTTATAATATATGTTTACGAGAGAAAATTTATTTAATTAACAACTATTCAAATAAAATATCAGGAAGTAAATTACCGTCTAATTTAGAGGTATTGAAGACTTTGTTTTTTAATTTAAGAGTCGTAAAATTGAAACTTCGTGAAAGTGCTAGATTAATTATTCGAGAAGTGTTTGTTTTTTGGGAAAAAGCCCGTATTCCAGTACGATTAGAAAAACACTGTATATCTAAAGTTGAATCTTTATACGATGAGTGGAGAACACTTCAAAAGCATGCCACAAGAAATACAGAAAGTCATAAGGAACACGAAAAACTGTTTATTTCAACATTTAATGATTTATTTGATGTAGCCCATGCTGATGCTCCACAAATTATGAAAATCGAAACAGATAGACTATTTTTAATAAATCAACGAAAAAAAGGACGTAAAATTGATTGAAGACTACAATTCAATACTCACCACCAATGAGGAACAAAAACAGTTTGTGTTACAAGTTGTAAGTGATTACAGAAAAATATTTCCCGACTGCAAAAAGGAAACATTAAAAAAAAAATTGTGACAAAGCATATGAGTAATTATTTTTAAACATTATAATAGACAACTTAGTTTTAAAAATGTTCTACATTTGTAATTTTAATGAATCGTTCGGCTTACATAAATATAAAACAATAAAAAATGGTTTAGCCAGATATGTTTAGTTTTTACTTATTTTTTGCTTAAAATTGTAACTGTGCCAGTAATAAATGATGTAATAATGAAAAAGTGACATTTTTGAAATCGACATAAAATGTAGAGTAAACTTCATTACTTATATCAATTAATATTTTATGTTCTTTGGTTGAAAAAAAAATATATAACCTAATGTCAGTGATTTTTGTAAGAAATTACAAAACTACTGAAATTCAAGTTCCCGGGGGCACGGCTAAAAACTGAACAATTGATTTCAAACTTTGCAGTTAATATTAAATTGGGCATTTACAAAAAACAGGTGGGTGCCACAAAAAAAATTTTAATATTTATTTTTAAGGGCCACCCTAATGGACCTATTGAGTAGGTAATATTCAATCTTTGTCGACGTAGCATAAATAGCAGAAAACATTTAAACAATAACAGGCCATCGTTAATTTGTTCATTGTACACGATAGACGATAGTATAGAATAGGTATTATTGTATTAAGTATATCATGTAATAACAACATATTAAGTAATTAAATATTTACACCAAACTAAAGTACCTACGGTTCATTGCTTATTTGAATTAATTTTCACATATATTTAAACTATACACCTTACAGTGTAGCATAAGGTCTATGGTATAACGCTCACCCAAAGTCAATTGTGTTTAAATATGTAATTTTATTCTTATTTACATTCAAAATTAGTCATAAATCATAAAACAATAATTAATACCTATTATACCTACTAATAACCATAGATTATAGTTTTATTGTTGCATGTACAACTGTATAAGCGATTGGTGATTACATTGTGTACACTGTACCTACATTAACGATTTACGTATACGAATATATGACGATTGATGGCTACTTTTTCATTCACACAATGATAAGTCTTGATACTTAATATAGTAATTAAATACCTATTACCTAAGATATGTCAACGCACTATTTGTTTTTTCTCTCTGGCCCAGATAGGGGGGTCGCATAAGTAAAAATGTGCAATCCGAGAAATTTCCATACGACCATATTTATAGTTTATCATTATCTAATAACAAATTAAAAATAGTTTAGTTATTTAATTATGAAAAATAAATAGTTAGAGAATGAGAATATTGAAATTTTATTTTATCAATACTTCAACAATGAAAGTATTACTGATTATAATTCACTAAAATACATTTTTTTAATGAATCTATTTTTAGATTGAGACCATATATACTTATGTCGTCATATTGATCACATAACAGCGAATTCAATAAACTTTTTCAAGGTTTTTAACAAGAGTTAGTATTAACTCAATAACACAACAGTGTACACGATCGACACTGAATCCAGAAATGATTTTATAATGGATGTATTTAAAATATAAAATTTATCAGCAAAGTGTATCAAAATTGATTGTTCCTCTAAAAATGTTAGGTGGTCTACTATACTCACATTTAGTATTATTGTACCTACGGATAAAATATCATATTTAGTATTTTTCTTCTATCAATGCTCACTTACCCATAATTGGTTTTGCCTGAGCAACATTTGGACCATATTATGTTACATGCCACTGATATTTGTAATTATTTAAATAACAGTTATCAGTAAATGCAACTGCAGTTAGATGCATTCAGGTTTACGAGCGTGGGTAATAAACATGATGGACATGTAGATGGTAAGACCAGATGTGATTTCACAGAGCTAGAGCACCAAGCCAACTCTGTTTTTTTGAACTAATGTTTCGATTTTTGATCAACAATAGTTGTATTTAGAAAATAAAATAGTAGAATAGCGTATTTTCTAACACTTCGAATATTTTGGTGATCTGAATATTCTATGAGATACAGTAATTTCACAGCTCAATGTTAAAGATTTACATTTTGACGAATTTACAATAAACTACTTAAACATAATTATTCAGAGTATGGCGAGTACGCTTATTTAAATACAACTTTATATCATCCTATTCCATCTATGGTAATCTGTACACAGAGAACACTACAGTACTTAGTAACCTAAGTGGTGAATTATCAGGAGCTGAAACTTTAAATATAAGTTACAAACAATTTAAAAATAAACTTTACTTTTATGAACAAAAACGACATAATAATGTTAATCTTCACAATATCACATATTTTTGATAATATTATATAAGTTAACAATTAAGTATTTTAGTTTAAAAGTTAATTAGATATTAGCAATATAAATTAGTTCCATATAGTATCTAAATATTATAAATAATACCTAAATTCACAGATTATGAATAAAAATAGTAGTTGCTAAGTAGTTAAGTAGAATTTATATTGTATACCATAAAATTAAATCATAAATAGTAAATATTGGGCTCCTAAAAGTAGTACTTAATGATTTAATTTCAAATTGTAATACAATTTCTGGGAACTGCGCACTAGCAGTTGCTTCATTTTTAATTCTGCAAGTACAATTTGTAATTACTAATAGAAAAATAATATTTCGATAGTCTTAGATAAGGAACGAGTCATAATATATGAAACTGTGGCTCTTAATTGCTATAATAATATACTTGGTGTTTATTGATCAGTTTGTCACAAACAATATATATCAAGGCAATTTTTAAAAAAAGCTGAACATAAAAAATGGTCACCTCCAAATTTGTCATATATGGTGTTTAAAATTGCATAGCCTACATTTTTTCAGCTGATTTATTTTTATTATTAGATTGCCTACTTTATTTGTTTCAATGATTTAGTGTTTCACTACTCTCAATATTTAAATAATATATATATATATTATATATATTATCTTATTTATACATTTAATTTTAATTTTGTTTTAAATTTTAATAATGATTAAAACAGAGTTAAAAACTAAATAGTTTGTTATTCTAGGAAAATACCATTTTTATTATTCTGTTTTACATGCTACTGTGGCCGGAGAATTTTTTTTAATTGTCAATTACACAACTTTAACAAATAAAAGTGTTTTGTTTTGCTAACCTGTTCATCAAAAAGTATTAAAATTACAAATAATATTTTTTTAATGCCATGATGATACGTATTATAAATTTATAGCTAGGTAATAGGTTTAGCTTCAGTTACATAACATCAGAAATACCAAGTTGCATGTTAGGTAAAATGATAATGATGAATTTCTTATATTATCATTAATTATCTTAAAAATGTCAATTTGCTGTGATAAACTAACTTCGGTCAGTTTATTTATTTTAAAGTAAATGCCCAAAGGTCATATTATACTACATAATATTTGCAAAAGATAAAATATTAATGACTTGGAAAGATGATTGCATGTAAACAAACAAATTAAAATGAATAGGAATTTAAATTGAAATTAAAAGCTTGTAATTGACTATAATCATTAAGGGAAGACAAAATGGAGATGAAAGTGTTCATACATTTTAAATAGTCGCACAATGGAAATTATTTCAGATTTATAACTATAAAATATTTGATTAGTCAACATTATTTATCTTATGATAGGTACTTTTATTTTGACACAATTTTATTAAATTTGCATTTACAATTTATTAACGATTTATTGATATTTATTGCATAAAAATTAAAAACTTTGTGATTTATAGTTTATACTTGTTATTTACATATTTTTAGAGAATTTTTATGCCAATAATTATTTTATTATTATACAAATAGTAATTATCATGGGTACAAAAGTAAAAATAAAATAACTTGTTTTTATTGTTAGACAATATATTATACACTTAGGTTAAAGATAGTAACTAACCATGACAATCATTTAAGTGATATTTGGTGGGCAATATTGACCAAAAAAAACCCTTGGGTAAAATAAAATAAATATAATAATGTTAAAAAAAAAACAATTTTTGGGCTAATTAATTTTTTTAAATAAACATTTTTTTTTCTTCTTTAATTAATAACAAAAAATAGAAAGATTAAACTGAGTTATGGCTTATCTTTACAGATTACAGTTTCGTCTATACAAATTTTGTTTGATTTATACTTAAGATGTAACTTTAAAATTTTAATCCTTTATTTTTACGCTTTATTCGTGCATATGGTCCAATGTTAGGATCCATGATAAAATCATACAGCACACTTGTCCATGAATGGTGTTGAGGTAAATTATCATAAAATTCTGGCGCAATTTTCTTGACCTAAATGAATAAAACACATCTTGTAATATTTCATAGTTAAAATATTTTAATACAGGAAGTTGGCAATTTAAATAAAATAGCAATAGAATTAAGTGCTCAAAACATCGCATATATTACTAGAAAATATAAAATAATAAACTAGTAGATTTGTTTAATTAAACATAATATACATACATTAAATTTAAAAGAAAAGTCTGATTGACTATTAAAATTTACGAGGGTATTGAATACAAATTACTATACTCTGTCACACGGAGAATAATCAGTCTACAGACCAATTCTCATCAGTGCTGCAGAACTCTTCTCAATTTCTCGGTATTTCTGTGATCATGAAGCGCGACTCAAAGCACCGATTTAATCATTTGTGATCCTCAAAAAGTGACCATTTTCTCGTGGGACAGAGTATACACTATGTTTATATCATTAAGTTTGAGTTATCAAAAACTGGTTTCAAAAAGTTAAGCTATACACTCACTTGCGGAAGTTTAGAACCAGGAACAAATGGAAAGTCATGATGTTCGTTATGATAGCCAACATTAAATGTAATAAAATTTAATGGACCATAATATGAGTATGTTTCATACCCTTTATGAAACATATAATGCTCAGAAATAAAATGCCCTGCAACGGGATGAAGACCCATCGCCATCAACGAACCAGCTAACATGTATGTAATTACTTTTGTACCTTTGGAAAAATTGATTTATACAAATTATCAACTAATATTACTTCATAATTTTTTTATACATTTTGTATACAATTAACTTACCAAAATAAAAATATACCCAATAATTGAACGCCAACTGAATAGTAACACTAATGATTTCAAGTGCAGTAGGATTTTTTGGATAAACAAACATAGGTCTTAAAGCATAGAAAAATGGCTGTAATAATACCCAGATAAATTTACCAAATGTCGAATTAAATAATTTTGCTTCAACATAGGTAGGTATGTCTGTATCAAGTTTCTCATCTCCTTGGTACTGTATATAATAATAAAATTATGTAAATTAAATTGGTTCAATACATATGTAGTACAAAATAAATTAAATCTAAGCTCAATAAAAACAATTTAAGAATTTTTTTAAATTAACATTTTTTTAAATCTGACAAAAAAACAGTAAATTACGCGCTAGATATTGGAATTCAAAAATGAATTCATACTGTTTAAGATGGTATGAAATATAACATCTATAGTAAACCATGAATAATTTACTGATGAATTATATTATTTACCCGATGATGTTCAAGATGATAGTGTTTAAAAGTGACAGAGAATGGAAGACCAATGGGTAAGTTAGCAAACATACCCAGTAATTTATTGTACATTGGATATTTTGGTCCATATCCCATGTTATGGGCAATTTCATGGATTGCTGAAAATATATTTGCAAATGATAATCAATATAATATTAGTGTAAAGTAATTAAAATTCAGGGACTGAGACCAGAGCGAAAATAACCCGTTACGGGACCCAAAACTTTTTGTAAATTAAAGAACTGAAAATAACTGTAACCGGTTTTTACAATTTTAAATGGCCCTAATCAAATGTTCCTAGTCAAGTAGAAAGAAATTACTCTTTTAAACTAACAATTTATTGGTTAGAAACAATAATCATATGTTATATACAGTGTTGTAATGCTATTTTCTGCCGCGTAGGTAAGGTTTTATTTTGGTACCCCAGATAACCGACAATAATGGTCTATCAACCTATGTATATAATATTCTGTAATAGATATTAATGCACATGATATTCGTTAACAGATAATTTCTACAAACACATTTAAAAGTTATTTTTACTATTACAAAAATTAATTTTATTTACCGTGTTTTTGAACATATTGAAAATAATTTAAATTCATCGGAAACTAAGTTTTGAAATTCATAAAATCCCATAAAATCATGAAATATAAACAAACCCCGTAAAAAAATATTTTAAAGACCCAAACCTTTACCAATTATCAATAAATAAATTACTAATAAATAAATAAAAAAAAATTAAAGTCTTAGTCCCTGAATAAATAACTTACGATTAAAGTTAATAAATATTATCTTACCAAGCATCAATGAATGATTTACAACACCTCCAAAACAATAGGCCAAAATCATAACAGTTGGCCATCTTAAATCTTTAATAAAATAAAGAGATCCCAACTGTAATACTGTAGTAATTATAACAATCCATTTAAAATTCTTATCGGGTCCATAAAGTTTCTTGATTTCAGGGTGCTTTTCTGAAATCAAATAATAACATTATCAATGTAATTTGGTTTTACCATTTTAAGGTACTGTGTTGCAGATAAGATTATTTATATTTAATTTACTATAATAAAAATTGTAAGTACCAGACTTTTACTTATAGACCTATTTAAAAAATAAAAATTCAGTTTTCATTACAAACAGTATAAATTGCATTTGAAATAAATAAATAATACATAAAAAAACATATAATATATACCGTCTTGCAATAAAATAAGACATTTTATTTAACATGTCTTTACATACTTCGTAAATGTTGACAAAAAAAAATCCAATACGTAAAATAATTTGTCAATTTCAGCATCATAAATGATGGTTAAGTAGTATTATACATTTAATACATTATACATTATTATCTTAAAAATTGTAAGTGTATAAAGGTATTTAAATTTAACATGTTTATATATATATATATATTTTTTTTTTTTTTTACAAGATATTTACAATCTATTCATAGAACAATAAATACATTTGATAAGAGTAATAAGCATGAAAAATATGATGGAAGAAGCCACCCATTGATGACACTACCTATATTGTTTCAGTTTATTAAGGGGATTTTCTAGAATTCATGCATTTAGCAGGTCACGACACCAGTAACGTTTAAGACGTCTAGTGGGATTGCCCGGAATCGAAGAGATTGCTAGATTTTTTATAAGAGGGATAGGATGGTTGGTTAACCTACTGTGGAAACTCTTATAATATAGTTTTGCTTCGTCTTTGGCGGAATTCATCCTGAGGTCTTGATGTATAGAATGGTTGGAGACATAATGTGGAGCATTAAGTAGTTTTCTTAGCACAATATTTTGAAAAGTTTGAATCTTATTGATGTTAGATTTTTTTCACTACCCCAGAGCTGTATGCCATATGTCCAGATGGGCTTGATTAGAGATTTATAAATAAGAATTTTAGTTTTAATGTTTGTGTATTTATTGTTAATGCAGAAAGTTTTTAACAGGCGCAGCCGTAGGTTTAAATTTTGTCTTTTAGATTTAAGGTGAGGGGCCCAGGTAAGTCTGAAATTAAATATAAGTCCTAGATATTTGACAGTGGAAGAGGTAGGAATTTGAGTACCATATATAGATACCTAAGGGGCATAGTTAAAAAATTTTTTTTATTGCATATTTTTTACTACATATTTTGCAGGTACCTATAAGTTAGTGTGAAGACCAAATCACCGTAGTTTTAATCTTGAAAATTTAAAACACTACATGGTTTGTCATTGTTTTACTTCGAACCGATTGAATTATTTAGAATTTTATTTTTATTTTTTACTACATATTTTGGCCATTTTAATTACATACATATGTATATATGTTTGGTTTTTTGTTACATATAAATCCCAGCCCTATTAATAGCTAATAAGATATTTTACATACCCATTTGAAAAACAATATTTATAATTATCATTTTCATAATTTAGAATAGTACCTATGTTATCTATATAACTTAACTCAGTATATAAGACTATTATTTTTTTCATACCCAAACATTAAAAATAGGATTGTCTAGGTTTCATAGAATTTATCCAACATCTTTTATTTGAGACAAATTTTATTCATGACTCAATGGATATATTTCATTTAAACATTGGACATTTGTATGAACTGCAAAAATTTAGCCATTTAAAGATATTTGTGATTCACATAAATCTAGACTAATATTAATTCAAAGATTAAATTAAAGTTTTATCATAAATGCTCAACATACATTATGATGAGCATACCACAGATATTAAACTTCAATAAATTGTTATCTTGAATACATATGACATGACAAATTACTTAATGGCAAAGCAAGAAAAAGAACCTTGCAAACTGCATTTATTTTCTTTGATTTGTTCTAAAGTAATTTATAATTTACCCTATGAAGCATCAAGAACTACAATTTACCCAACCAGAAACATTATATAGATACATCTACAGTATATAAATACGCCAAGAATTAAAAACATTGATTATGAATATTATTTATAATCAATACTAGTTATAAGTAAATAAATAGTACCTAATATTTATTTGATTATATTAAACTCGGTTTTTAATTTTAACTGTATTACTGATATCATAAAAGATTAATATTACTACTTAATTTGATTGAACTCTTAATCAAACTGAGATATAAATTTGTAGTTGAACTATAACTGAGAGTTAAACTAATTTAAATAGCCTTGGTAAAATATTCTAAACAAAATTACATCATTTATAGTCGATGTCAATATTTAACAGAGATAATGCTGCTAGCAGATAATACATAATATGGAAACTGGTGATTTAAATAATTAATTTTATTCAACAGAATACAATTTATAAACTAAATTAATTGTTCCACATTTGATTTGATATGTATACACATTTCAAATCATTTATTGTTACAACTAATGTACAATGTACATACTTGACTAATTTCAAAATGTATACCTATGTAAGAACCTTGTTATTAGGTATAAATTAATATTGGTATATAAATTATTTAGGTATAGGTATTAATATAGTTTTTATACTGAATACCATTAAATGTCATCATATTTGATACTAAAGGTACTGTTGGTTATTTAAGGTTCTGTCAAATTTTAATGAAATAATATATTTGTGTAAATTGTATTTCATATAAAGTTGTAATTTATAATACAGTAGGTATTATTACAGTAGGTACTTATCTATAGTATGAAACATGTTCATTTGTGATTATAAAATGCCTATATAATATTGTATAAGAATTTATAGGTAAAGGGTTACATAAAAAATGAGTGATTGTAACTAATAAATGGTTAATTTTGTTAATCAGTAAAATTAGACACAAAAACAACTTCCTTCTTAGGTATATAAAAATATATATTAACTCGGCAATACGTTCCACGATAAAAATGTTATATTATATAACTTGAAAACATAATATTAGATATAAAATCAATATAATTTTATAACTAAGCAATTGATATTTTTATGGGACTATTTTAATTATCAATAATGAACATAAAATGCATACATTTTAATACAGGTAGATATAATATGTACATTATATATGTTAGTCAGATTAAAATGATGCATTTTAATATTCATAATAGAAACACAAAATGTCAAATATTATCTAATAATTTAGGTTAAAAAAATATGTATATACTCAACACTCATGGGTAACTATAAATTTAACAGCTATGCGTAATGGTCAGAAACGGATTTCCTTTTAGGCAGTGTAGGCAATACAAAATATTGTAAGTAATATTAAGAAAATAATAATACTACACAAATTCTGTAATGCTTGATTAAAATACATAATAATTATAAATGTAAAATTAATTACTTTATATTTACACTATTTTTATTCATTATAATTTATAGTCATAATAAATTCGTAAAAATAATCTACGCAACAAGTGTACATTGTAGTGAAAACAGTTTTTGATCACACTAAATTAAACACCCTTTTATAATCTGCGCAGAGCCCACATTGCCACATTGAAAATACGCCTACAGTCACACAAAATTATTTATTCGACAACCCTAGTGGTATTGCTGTTATTATGAACTGTCTTGTTCAAAGAGTAACAATAAGAATAATCAAAAACTTGAGTCTGTATTAAATATTTATTATATTATTTTTCATTTGTCTGGTCTGTGTTTGAGAGATTGTGGCGTATGTAGGGTATCCGTGTATTTTACAAACCAACAAGAAAGCACTAAGGTGCCTAGGTAATGACTAGGTAAGTAGTAATAACATATTTTAAAAAACAAGACGTCAACTTCTAATCAACTTCTAATATTAAAATAATTAAGTTGAGAACTGTTACATACAAATATTTACTTTAACATCTGTTTTGAATGACTATTTTTATAAAAATAAAGTATTACAAAATATGTTATAAATGGTAATGTTTTACTTATGTTCCAAACAATGGTTTTAATTAATTAATGATGGTTCATAATTCATAAAAATTATCATTGTAGGTTTTCATTGAAATTTGGTGGACATCCATTGACATTTTTCTAAAATACCTGGGCTAAATAACAAAATGAAAGAAAAAAATAGTCCAAAAATTCAAATGATTTTAGGTCTATTATATTCATTTATATTTAGTATTTTGCAGGGGCTATTATATCTTGTTCACTTATTATAGAGGCAACATATTTTTAGTGACTATAGCAGAGAAAAAAGATAAATCCTCCCCTGGTAATAATACATTATTGGGACCTACCTAATTTTCAAATTGTAAATCTATAATTTTTAGATAGCAAATATAGAAAGAAATTAACTGCACTTAGGTACTAATAGTTAGGTATATTTTAAACTAGAATTTATTGGTAGTAAACCTTAAATGAAAAAAAAGTTATGTTCAATTATTTTATTTAAATGGAAAGAAATTCAATAAATAGGGAACAATATAAAAAGGGATAATATGAGAACACATTCTTTGTCTAGAAATTATCTTATTTGCATCAATTTCAAAAAACTGTAATATTTTCAAGATATATAAACAAAAAATTAATTTAGTATAGCTATATTTTTAATAATAAATTTATATTTCTGTACTTTGTAATTTAGAGCTGTATTACATACTATCATATGATAATAGAGAGTTGGATTGATTGGTGATAATTTCAATTCTTACCAAATGTGGTGAACAAGATTTAAAAAAAAAAAAAACGTTTACCTACCTAAATAATAATGTGTTTTTCGAATTACTCAATTTAACCTACACACTATGTTTCTATTATTATAAAAAGATAAATATTGGCGACGACGATGAGATTTTACACTGGGTAGGTCTATAGTCTAGAACGTGTCAAGATACGAACCCAAAATCTCTTTCCTACGCGTCGCGTGCGGCTCTTCCGTGGGCGACCACTCAAAGTCGGTCCTGGACACTTTGGCTCCCATAATGTTCGGCTATTCGTACAGCTTCTGTCGTAGGATGAGAACAAGACCAGTCATCATGGTCTGAACAACAGAAAAACCAACTGGCCGATCACACGACACAACGCCGACCGTCCGTCGGGCGTACCTCGGAACGATTTTTATTACGCAATCGATCGGCCGCGGCGGCAAACACGAAGCACGAGCGCGATTGAACGACTGATTACTGATTAGCAGTGAACAGCGAACGCGCACGGAGAACCACACGACGGTACCGGCGCCTATCTGGCATCTGCTCGCCGAGTGCGAGCCGCGAGGCGGGAGCCGGAGGCGGTGGTTATTCCGATTTTTTCCAAACTGTCCGCCGGGCGCCCCTCTCCGTGTGCGATCACCTCCGAATCACACCACCGGCGATTGTATTTGTTTTTTTTTTTTTGACAACAAGAATAGTATTAATATTATGAGAAACAGTACTATCGTCGTCGATTGGAAAAAAACGAGACTACAATCGTCTCGATACGGGACCGTACGTGCAATGTCCAACAGTTTTAAAACATGATCGGTAAATTTATTAATATTTATAAATCGTATTATTATTTTCAAGATTATAATTTGTAAAGAACTTTTGTAACCGCGATTATTTTCAGCAGGCTAACTATAGAAAAACTATTTTTATTTTCGGACTATTTCGATTGCAGCCGCTGAGCCGCCTGCCGGCCGGCCGGCCGGAGTGTCGGACTGATAATAAATTAATAACACGGTCTTTTAGAAGATCTTCTAGAAACTAGAAAGTAGAAGACCATGGGTAATAATAAAAGAGAATATTTCATCATCGATCGTTATTCGTTTCTCCGCTGGGCGCTGATCACAGTCCAGTCGCCGCCGATATTGTTCCTCTTCATAATCGTCCTATCGGCTAATGCCTATTACCATAATCATTTTATTTGTATTATAATAATATTTTATCAGGTTTGGTGTGGCGTTTATAACACATAGGGGCATTGGCCTCTAATCTTTCACCCGTCGCGGACGATAGTATTGTTTTTTAGGTAATAATCTTACTATAATATGCATTTTAATATTAATTACAATTTACAATAAGTATAAAATATTATCATTTATCGGACTAGGTACAACTGTAGTCTGTAATAGAGATTCCACGTTCACGCATGATAGGATCATTTTAATTAAAATACAAACGCCTAAAATTATTAATTTACTATGGATAATATTGTTATTCTTGATCTATTAACATAATATTACATACACCTACTTATTACCACAATTCCACCCACTTTGATAATTTTTTTAAACTGTTTTTTAGACAATAATACCTACCTAAAAATAGTTTCCAGGCAAACTATTATTTCTATAAATCCTTATTGGCAATAATAACAGTAATAATTAGCTTTAATCACATAACGCTTTGAAAAACCTGTGTTTATATATTTTTTAGATTTTTTGGTTACAATATATACTATTACTTATGAAAAATCTTGTATTTTTATTTTGCAACCTTGAGCTATAAAAATGTAATATTTTATACATCTTTAACTACAAAATGATTTGCAACATTTTCGTGACATTGGCAATTTTTTTCTTCAAAATTTGGGCTGAGACACGATTGAAAATACCTACAACACCTTTGTCGAGACTTGAGACACGATTGAGCAAAAAACTCTGCAACGTTGCCATTTTACATTTTGAACTGTATTATACAAAATTATTTATTCATATGCTTATGATAATTCAAAATATAACATGTCAAAAAAATAACATGATTGCATAGTCCATAATATAGTCATTAGTCACATTATAATATTATATAGATCTGTTTGATAATAATGATGGTAAAATATTTATATTTTCTGGTTACTGCCTATCGTGAAGTTGAAATTTATAATATAAAAATTAATTTAATTGATATGCCTTGGTAAAATCAATTCATTCTTTCGCTTTGCTCTGTATCTAAAATTATAACGATAAAAAATTGTATGAAATTTTAATTTTTCTCAAAATTTTGCTTATAATTATGTATTAAAAATATTTCTATAAACGTTATTGCTCAATGCTGTTTAACATCACTGATGTTCACCTTTAATAGCAAATTCGTCACTTTGTATACCGTGTCACTGTAGTAAAATAATTAATATATAGGTACCTCCCACTTTTACAATTCGTCATGTTAACCTTTGTGTTATTGTTTGTTTAATCGATATGTACATAGACATATAAGATTTATTTTTAGTTTACCCAGTATGGATAGGTAATACTTACCTATCAATTATCATTCATATTTAAAGTGACCACCGAAATTATGAATTTTAATATTGCAAAATAATTACACCCGAAAATACCAAAATGGATAAATACAAACTCAAGACACAGAAATTACAACAAATATTTCATTTCGACGAGCATAACATTGAAAAAATATGTACAAGTTTAGAAAATGGTATGCACTATTAATTTTATTTTAAACCTAATATGGCTAATATAAATATAAGTAAATTATATTAAGAATTTGAAACAAAAGATTTGTTTTCTTACAGCAGGATAAATTAAGTAGGTAGACTGCAACTAAGTATATTTTTATCTCGATAAACATTATATACATTAGAGTATTAGAATATATTTTAGATTTAGACTTATCAATTATCATTGTTATTTGTTCATATACACAATGTCATTATACGTACTTGTTATTATATTTTATTATACTATCTAATTGATATTATGAATTATTATGTTGAAGTATAACAATTAATGGCTGGTTTGAATCAAGTACCTCAATTCAGTTTTTGTTACCAAAATGTTTGCTAGTCTTTATTTTTATGTTATGGATAAAAGCATTTATTATAATACGAGTAGGTATGTAATCAATGATAAAGGTTATACATGTACCTTATATATATATAGTAGGTACCTAAGGGGCCAGCGCCCCGTCTGAACTCTGAAGTATCAGAAACTATATGCCATTTTATATTAATTTATTATTCATGTATTATTTAAATGAGGTATAAAATATTTTATTTGTGACTGAGGATTTCAAGATTTGTTTTGTAGACAATATTGTACAATATAGTGTCTATAAATATTAAATTAAAAAAATCTGTTTGGCCTTCCTAGCTGTTAGCATACCTTTCAAAAAGTTGAAATTACACCTTTGTAGTACCTACCTGTTTTATATTATGCACAATGCACATAGTAGGCATACGATTTAAAATATGAACAGGAAATGCAATTTTTAGGTTTTCTTTTTCTTTTTGACATTTTATGGGAAACTATTTGTGATTTTTTCGACTTTTATTATGATTTAATTGTTGAGACTTTTAGGTCATGCCTCGTGGTTGTATTTTAAACAAACGCCAACATTGTGCCCCGTAAAGATAATCTTTTTATTATTATTTGTTCTTTGCAATATAACATATTACATATTGTTAGATTTTCATTTTATCTATAGACAATTGTCAGACCACAGTAAAAATGCATGTAGGTATATCTATTTAAAAGTTAAAAAAATAAAAATTTGAAATACGAATTAGGTACTAACTTAATATCACATTTAAAACACCTATCCGTGATTTAAATTTATTTCTAGTAGGCCAAAAGAGGCGTTTATATAAAAGAAAAAATTGGTGCAAATGCAAAATTTCTTGCCCTCTTCCCAAATTGCGCAGCTGCTTACGATAATACGTAAAATGTATGCATAATATTATAATGTTTGCACTTTGAAATTCATTGTTTGGAACATTTAGGATTCCCCTGCTTGTGACTGTGGCCACTCATCTCAAACATTGGAACTTTTCTTTAAGTAATTTCAAAAAACCAAGAAAAGTAATCCACCGCTGTGTATTGAAGGATTAACTTGCAGGATTAGATCTATTGACATTTTCTTATATAGAAAAGTTACTAGGTATATTACCTAGATAGAATATGTTGAATATATGATACCATTATTAAATTATGTGTATGTTTTGACTAGTTTTATCCTTAGGTAGTGATATTTAACTCTGTTTTCATCTTTCTTAATTTTATTTAGTCTATTTGTTGTTAACTTTATAAGGTTCTACTTAATGCCTAATACCATTTGAAAACAATAATAGTGTCTACAGTCTGCAGAGATCATTTTGTTTTTAATATTATTATATTGTATTGAAACTGAGTCACGTTTATAAAACCCTTTAATTTTTTTACACTTATAGAAAATGTGAGTGGTTAATAAATTGGTGCTGCAATAAAATGTCCATTGAAATAATCACAATTTTATTCGTATATTATCCGTGATATATACAGACCGGTATATAAGCGCAGTGATACTCATTTGAAAATATATCTCTGTATAAATATTTGCAATGGGAATTGAAGTTATGAAATAACTATAACTCTATAGCTAATTCCTGAATTATTATAGAAATAATTTAGCTAAGGGCGTCGGAGCTGGTGTGTTTCTAAGTACCAAACATTTCTTAGAGGAAAAACTCACGTCCTGAAGAACAGTCGTATTTTGTTATTTTTTTTTATTTAAAATAAGAGAACCTTTTGCAGGTCAGATCAAAGCACCACTCTCAAAATTATATCAATTATACCAAATCAAAGGTGTATCCAATATGTATCGATGGATATATCTATACTCTAATAATTAATAGTTAATATTAAATTAATTTTATTTATAATCTAGAAATCGAAACTTTGAAGGTGGTGAAAATTCAAAATCAGCCATTTAAGACGCCCGACGTTCAGCTCTTCAAAGCTGCATTGTATGAAACTAAGACTAATACTCTTTTAGAATTGCCGTCCTTGGCACCGTCTGCCAAGAATATCTCAAACACTTCACAAAATGAGGTTTGTATACGAGATAAGTAATTTATAGTAAATAAATCGTAACGAGCACCGAAAGTCTCGAAATATTTATAAGTACAGGTATTTAATTACATACGCTGTTACTCGTTAATATCTTTATTTTCGATGTGTTTAGTGTTATACACACTTATACAGTTGTGTAAGGTTTAGAGATTGTAAATTGTAATACCTATCTTAAGCATAATAAGTTTATTTTATATTGAATATGTGTAACTGTGTAAGCATTATGCCTATAATATTATAATTAATATTTAATAACTATATGTACCTACTACCTATACACTATATGTATACGGAGTATTGTAGAATTTGACATTTTAATACATGTTTTATTGATAATTAGTAAGCAATTTGAATGTATTTATAAATACGAGTATAAATTGGTAATTTGTAAGTTCAGCTTTACTAAAAATCAGCAAACATGTGACCTCTGGGCTCTGATTCCCTTACAAAATGTCTGTTGGGTAGAATCACTGAGTCACAGTCTCGCAGATCAAATTTAGAAACCCTAACTTACAAACAATATTAAAATTCTTTTGCTCTATACAATTTTCTTCAAAAGTTTGTATTTTTATTTTATCATCCCGTTTTTAAATACCTACTTTTTTATATTCGAATTAATTGTAAAAATAGGCTATCATTTATCAGTGGTTTGTTAATATGATTCCAATTTTTAATAAAACTTGCTAATGGTATTAAAATGGTAGCCCCTAATAAGCAGGTTCTCCTCAATACATGCATCAAAATATTTGTTGTACACCTACACCTATACAATGCGCTTTATTCAAAGTGATTTAAATTATTTTCATACAATACATATTCATAGATATGAATTTTCAGCTGATAAATAAATAAAAAGGACGGAAATCGTCCATGTCTACCACTATACTATCCCTGTACATTTATTGAGCATGTTATAAAACGATTATAGATTTTAATTAACGATTACTCCTCTTCTGTGTAGAAGGTTGATGCCGAGTGGGTCACTATGACACATATCTATATGTGTCAAATTTTAATTCAATGATAAAACATTGCATACGAAAAACGATTCTAAGCGAAGACAGACCGATAGCCTATGTATTACTATAAGTATATTTTAAGATATTATTGCTATTTATGTAATTTGTTTTACTATTAGAAGTACATTAAGTAGAATTAATTATTTACGAAAATGTCATTGTGTGTATGCAATATAATAATACAGTAAGTACTATCAAGTACTATAGTATACTACTATCAAGTACCTACCCCCTACATTTTTAAATTACATCAAATGATTAATGAATTCAAAACCGTTACTTTTCAGTTTTCGTTCAAATTTAAACTTGAAATATCTATGAAAAAAACCTGTCAATATATTTGTTAGTTTTTGGTTGCACTATAAAATTCTTCGTCCTTAGCTAAAAATATTAAACATCTTATATGTTATTAATTACAAAAATAATTTGCAAAATTTCGTAATTTTGACGAAATTCATCAAAATTTGAACTTCAAATGCTTACAAAAAAAAATTGAATGTTTAATTAATGATATTTTCAAACGCTAACTTTAAAATACAAACTTTTATGAATTTCTAAATTAAAAATGATTTGCACATTTTCACGATTTTGACATATCAAATTTTTTGAAAACTACTGAGAACCCCTCAATAAACCAACTAGATTCACTTTCCTACCTAAAAAAATGCTGATGTAGAAAATTGGAACATTTGTATTGCCAAAAAAGAATTACGACAGACTGATATAAAAAACACACATCATTGTAAAATCAATACAATCTTTCATTTCGTTCAGAATCTAAAATCTAAATTATTTTAAATAATTCGTTGTCAATATTAGTATAATGTTTTTAACTGTAGCTGTTACTGTAATTGTATTGACGTATTGTGCTAACAATTTACGTTATATAATCTATTTTAATATACTAAGCTATAAATGCATATTTTGTGTAGGCTACGTAATTTTAAAATCCACCGGTCTATCTAATTTTGATCGAATTTTTTTTTGCGTAGGATGTTCCTTACAATCTTGTGAAGGTTATAGGCTATACTCAGAAATTGTTTTCTGGTCATTTAACCCTAATTATTATTTTTTCATGCGTAAATTTTGTTATCGGCACACGAAGATCGATATTTTTTTTAAATTTATATAGGGTTGCCCATTTCCATAAGTTTTCTAAATAAAATAGTTAGGTATTAACTATGATGTTGGATATAATTTTTTTTGTCACAGAAACTTGGTATGAATATAGATGGTGAATATGTGTTTGGAAAAACCTTGATTTTCCAAGGTAAATTATATACATATATGTCACCTGTGTTATAGGGTAGGCATGCCTAACAATTTGTGAGTACATTTTACTAACGAAATGACAAAAAATATCGTTTAAAGCACAGCTTTGGAAAATTGACTTTTCAAAATTATTTACTAATAGTAGGCACCTACCCATTTAAACTATTTTTTCTTGTGTATCACAAATTCAAATTTTATACGGAGTAATTTTTAAACGCGAGTACTTACATAATTATGTGTAAAATAATAGCACGAAATACGCACAAATACATGTGGCTGTCCATTTGTTTGTTTGTCCGGAAAATGCTTAAACACGGATGAACCCATTGATGGGGTTTTCACGGATATGTTATTATTAACGAAAAAACGGAAAACGATAAATAGATTAATACTTTTAACCAGAATAGAGTTGGGTAATACAGCTAGTATAATACTATAATTGCGTCCGTGATGAAAGATAACAACTAATACCTATATTCTAATAGGTATTACTACAATATATTAGGTAATACAATATTTTTTTATCATCATTTTTATTCACCGCCAAGCGTAATTTAATGTAAGAATAAAAACAAATAGTTTTTGAAATCAAGGTTTCCAAAAACAAAATACTTGTATTTCGTACCTAAGTTGATTATGATCGCCACGATGCTATCACATGGTCCAATAACTAGATAATATGACAAAATAACATATGAATGTATTAAATTCATATCTATGATTATAAAAAATAATCTATTATATAATACTTGCGTCACTGAATAAATAAAAATGTAAAATAAAATATTATCAGCAATGAATATTTTTTTAAATTTTGAGTGGAGCGATCTGTAATGAATATTAATTTTGTAATGATGTGTGTTTTTACTTTTTTTTCTCAGAAGACAATTTTTCTAGCATAAAAAAAGCTCAGATTTTAGACTTTGAGGGGGCTTCTGGTAGCAAATCGAATCTATTTGGTACTTTGGTTGATAAAAATTATTTTGTATTTAAAAATGAATAACATTTTAAATTCTGCGTGGCGCAATGAATGTATTAATTTTACTATGATGTGTGTTTTTTATACCTGTATAAACCATAAGTGAAAGAAAAATGCTACGATTTTCAACTTTAGGTTGGTTTTGAATAGGACATTTGATCTAGTTGATACTTTTGGTGATCAAACTTGAAAATTCTCAGTATTTTTCAAAACATTGGGGGAAAAGGAAAAAGAAGTATTTTTGTAAAATTCAGTTTTTGACGAAATCGATTTCGAGTTTTTTTTTGTGTAACCAGAGGATGTTTATAATAGCATACTATAATAATAATATAATAATATGTATAATAATATACATACTATAATTTCGACAAGATTCGTCAAATTTCAAAAAAATGTATTTTGATGACGTATATTACTAAATTATTTTATAGTTAAAAATTAATGAAATATTCAATTTTTACAGTTAAGGGATGAAAATATTATACAAGTCTAATTACTGTATTACTATATTTTATACAGATTTAAAATGCAATGTTTTCAGCAAAAATTAATTCAATCTATTGTGCTACCAATGGTAAAATAAATTACTTAAATAGCAATATAAATAATGTATCAGAAAATACATTTAAAATAGACAAAGTCGTAATACTTTCATCGTTCTGCTGAGAAAAAAGATATTAAAACCTTTTACTAACCTAATGTATTTGAATATTAATTAATTTATGTATTATTTTGATTTTAGATAGCAAAAACTGCTTCTACCAAATATTTGTTATCTGATGCTGTTCAAGCTTCTAGATGTTTTCAAAGAACACAACATACACAAACAGAAGCAATCACTTTAAAAGTAATTAATAATTTATATTTTCAACTATTTTTTGTTATCTTTTCAAATTTCAGTCTCCAATACATTTCTATATTCTCAAATTCACATAATACAATAATTAAAAATTTAAAACACACTTTTTGTATTAATATTAGTCCAAATGAAAATGTACAATCATACCATAGATAAATTATGATTTACTTAGGATCAGTCGAATATTGCATCTGTATGGATACTTCAAAAGGAAATAGGTAATAATACGTCCACGGTAAAAACCCAAGGTTAGTAAATTAATACTATGATAACTATTACTATATTATTATTGCAAGTATTTGACATTTATGTGCAGTCACTGTTGTTAAATGATAGGCAGTGTTGGGCACTTACTAGTTAAAAAGTTAGACGTTACTATTGTTGGTGACCTAGTTACTTTGTTTTGTGCCTTATTTAAGAGTTACTTAATTTAACTATAGTTGTATATTTCCTGTAAATATAAAGGTAATTTAACTAGTTAGCTGTATAAAAATCATAAAGTTATTCAAAAGTTATTTTTAATGAACTATTCTTAGATAAAGAACAAAATTTGTCGAATACTGAAAATTCAAAATTAAAATTTTGAACAAATACCTACTAAGGTTAACTTAATATCATAAATATTAAAAAAATGTTCTATCGTTGGACCATATTTATTTTATTATATATGATAATTGATAACCATATGATCTAATTCTGGTTTATACATTTAAATATATTTTGTAGTACCTACATAACTTTTTTTCTAACTATTTTGCCAACTCAGTTGGTGGTAGACAAATTTCTAATTTTACTAAGTTACTATATTTTTAATGTAACTTATAAGTATATAATCATGTAGTTAGTTTTTTTTTAAATATTCTAACTTAAACTATATTTAGAAATTATCATTATAGTCTATAAATGTCCTCGCTGTTATTTGATTAAAATGGTTCTGGAAACATCTTAAAAGCTGGGTCTCTATATAGGTACTTTTTTAAGGTTCTTAATCACTATAATATTATGACGCTCATTTGAAATATTTAAATCGAAATTGTTCCTTAATTTGTATTGTGAATTATAATAAACCTCCTCACATATAGTTAAATCTATCATATGTAAAGGTAAGATAGGTATAGAGACCTGGGGAGATAGAAGAAATTTCAAGGGAATAATATATTTTAAAATTTTTGGAATATTAGTATTCCTTTGAATTTATAAAACTATTCTGATTAGATTTATTTATAGATAGGCAGAAGGTTAAAAAGTAAAGTATTTGCAATTTGCATGTTAGTTTTTGAATGTTTGTGAAAATTATGGGCATTAGATTTTAAAATTAATTTATATATAGGTACCTATAGATTTCAGTTCGAATAATGTAACATTGATCACACATTTTAAAATACAAATGCAATCAAATGTTAAATATTTTAAAAAAAAAATTCAAAAATAATATTTTTCTAAAATACGGCTTAAAATCATAGTTCTAATATATTAAAATTTCAATACGTATGGACAAATGCTAGTATAAAATATATTCTTTAAAAGTGTTAAGTTTTTAAAAATATTCTTTTCCGATTTGTTTTATTTATTGATTATTATTTATAACGTATGTTACAAAGAAGTACCGGTAAATAATAATTCTATATTTAAATAATAATTTGAAATATTTCAGAAATCAAATCAAACAATTTCAAAAAAATGTTGTTCATATCTGACCGAATTGTGACGTCTAATAATTTTTCCGAAAAACAGATTGAATTCATAACACGACACACTAGTGACAGTATGAATATTGTTCAAGCAATACATTTAGCGCCCCACATACTTAAATATAATATTGTTTTTAAATTATTTACAGAATTAAACGCTATGTCTTACCGTTATACGTTGGAAGAAATATTACAATTTTCAAATGATAAGTTATCGAATTTTTCGGTCACATCGTTCGTATGGAACACCATGAATGAAGTAGGTATACAATTTATTATATGGATACAAATATGTCATAGATGTATAGGTACTTATAACTCACAACAGCTTATTAATAAATTATATACTTGGATGAAAATGTAGTAAGTAACCACTAAGGCCCTTCGTTGGTTTCAACCATTAACTATACCTACTAATTTATTTTTCAGAATTTCAGGTATTAGTGGTATATTAATATAATGCGTTAGAAGACAGAAGTTAAAAGAAATATAGCAAAATGGTGATTGAAATACTTTTATAATACTGAAAGTAGTAATGAAATTAAACCTACTTATATATTAGTTTGAAATAGGTAAATAGAAAAACCAAACTTGAGCGTAGCGAAAAAAGAAATTTTGGTGGGTGGCCTGGATACATTTTAAACTCCCGGACTGGATTTGGTCCCCACTCCGCCTCTGCAATTGTAGTATTAATAGAGGACCCACCCAGGTCACTTACAGGATATTTAAAGGATTATAAGTTAAATGTGATGATTAAGAAGTTAATATTGCCCTGACGCCCTGTGTAGGAAGTTCCAGGGATCCAAATAAATAGGAGCCTGGTGGACATTAGGAATTAAGATAGAATGTCTTGTTGACATTCTGGGATTTATAGATATGAGGGTTTTAGTAACATCCTACATAGGCTACTTGTTTAATTCCTCGAATATAAGCTGGATGATTGTGCCTATTATGAGGATTCCATATATCCACCCATATACATGATTTAGATGTATATCTAAGAAACAACGTTACAAAAAAAAAGAATGGGGAAATTGCTCTGATGTATCTATATATAGTAGCCTTTGTACTCTTGCAGCAGTAGGTATATATATATATTTTTCTTTATTTGAAATAAACAGTCTATACCAGAATATTAGCGTATGTGATTTCAGATTTGTGTAGAATACATAAATATTAATTTTATTAATCAGGCACACAATAAATAATTTGTACATAATAATAATATATTAATATTATATTAGAATACATTAATACCTGTACTGGTGAACAATTTCAAGTATAATATATCTTTATTATTTATAAATATACCCCAGCAGATAAGAATAGATTGTTTTAAATAACTACAAAATGTGTATGTTTTTTGTGGTTAATTAATATGTGTTTCATTCTAATTATTTTCGACGTTAGGATATTTTGGCAGTAGGATATGGCAAATGGAACGACAAACCAAATGGTTTTAAAGGGGCTGTTTGTTGTTGGTCGCTAAAGAATCCAGTTTATCCGGAAAGAATGTACGAATTCAACAAGCCCATTACTTGTCTTGATTTCTCAAAAACTCACGCCAACGTACTCGTCGCTGGTAGTCACGGAGGATGCATCTACATATTGGACATAGCCCAAGATATATGTGATCCGATGATAGTCAACGAGTAAATTATAATTTTTATCTCTGTAAAATTATATTAGTATTATAACACAAAATAATTTGTTAATATATAGGAAATAAATAGTATAATAAATTGAATAAAATATTATATTTAAAAATCCGCAGTATCTATGAACATTGAACACTTCTGGTAAACCGGTATGATCGTGGGTACCTACTCACAACTCGAAGTCTCGAACGACATAAATATAATTTTAATTTATTTACATTTTGTTCATCTGTTATACCAAATAATAATTTATAATAAATTTTAACATATAAATTATACCTACATTTATAAAATATTTCAAGTACCTATTTAGTATTTACCTTCACCAAAAAATGAACTATAATAGAACATTTCCAGTATATAGGTAACCATATAGATAATAAGGTGAAAACATCTTGATGCGTTTTTTACACATAGGTCACATCGGTTTGGGCAAATTCATTTTTTGGTTGAGTAAATTTGAGTTATTAATAATTCATAAATATCATAATATAAATTTAAATGGTAAGAAATAAGTCCATACCACTAAACTACCTCATGTAAGTTATAGAAACATTTAGTTTTGACTACAATCAAATAAGTAGTCAAATCAAATTAAATAACTTAATTATATTTCGTGTTTAAACTCTATAGGCTACAGCTACTATTATAGTTTGATGCTTTTGCTGGGTACCAGGGTACCTACTAAAACTAAAGTACCTACTGCCAGCTATGTTTTTTTTTAAATCAAGTTATTTTTAATAATATTATTATAAATAAAATTATAGGAAACACTTAGAAAACTTTCCTATATGGGGTGTTCTGTCGTTTCTACAAAAAAGTTATACATCGGAAGACGAATTTATACTATCCGTGGATGGCAATGGATCAGTACGAAAATGGTCAGGTGGTGTTTCCAAGACTTACAACACTGGTAAACGACTAACATATTGCATATTAAATGTATATAGCGTTTTAGAGATCATTAGAATATTGAACATTAATTTTATTCATAATACTTAAAATATTGGTTGAAGCTTATAGACTGATTTGGAGTCGATTTTCTTGTGATTGATCGCTCTATAGAAATGTATTGCTTAACTGTAGTTGACCATAGTTAATGTAGAATTTTACATGCGATGTAATATTAATGACTTTCCTTCGCTAGAAAACGATTCCATCGCACTTCCCTCCTCCTCACAGATCTCAAAATAGAAAATTTATAAGCAGATCAATGTCAAATCGATTTCAGAACAAATGTCATTAATATATTGTGGAATCCGAAACGATGCTGCAAAACCGAACAAATTCAACCATTCGACCATCGTTCAAAATATGCCCGGAACGGTCATATCGTTTCATCCAACTAATAAGAGTTCATACTTTATTGGGACTAAAGTTGGTTTCGTCGTACAGGTAGGTTTATTTATAAAGGTGTTCCGTCTGGCATAGTACATAATACATAGCAATAGTGAAATTAGTGGGTAACTTGGTGGAGGTTATTAGCCCCCCCCCCCCTTGAGCTGTTACAATTCTAGCCCTCCCACTCTAGCTAATGTTAAAGAGATTAAAAAAAAATGTTCATAACATTTTATATGTATTCGTGATATTAATCTTATTTTTATTGTTCTTTTGTTTCATACTTTCATTCATTATTTATTTTATGACTTTTATGTTATGCTTGTCGAATAAAATAATTGCCAAACGCAAATTTATTGTAGTATCCTGTTTACTTGTATCTATATTCTATACTGTCTACGTTTGTAAGTCGGAGACAACGCATAGGCCTTTCTACGAGTGTCAGTCGACTATAAATTAAGGGGCGAAACATTAATATTCAGAGATTTTTTCCAGTTAAGCGTGACCCGGTGGCCATACAATAGGTAGGTCTTAGGTACAGATGTAAAATCGAACGATTTCAAGTTTCTATATGGTCAAAAAATAATATACAGGAGAAACGATCACGATTTTGATCATTTTTTAAAAAACATTTAACATTATACAGGTTGTATTAACGTTGAAAAAAAATTTCGATCTGTGAGGGCACTACTTGTCAGTTGTCTTTGTGAGAACATTGAACAATAAGCTATAGCCTATAGCACCTTAATTTTCTTTTAAAACGATTTATTACTGTACCCCGTATACATACTACACAATATACACATACGACATAATATGTTAAGTCATTTAACAGTACGCCTAGATCAAAATATTCAAACCCAATATTTATGAATGTACATTGGTAACTGTTGCGCCTGAAAAATGTTTAGTTAATTTTACCCGCCTCCTTCAGGAGTTTTAATTTAAAAATAAACATGTTTACTTTTCAAAAGCTGGAGAGTACTTTTTCAATTTGATCAAATTGTTTATCCAAATAAAACGCTTTAAATGTAAATATGTAATACACTTTTCAAATTTAAATTACAATAATAGTATAAAACTTTTTTAATATTACAATTATTTTGTTTTGATAATGCAATCGATCCAAAGTAATTTGACTAACAATAATTTTGAAAATCGAATCACAGAATAAGTACCCATACGTCCTACTTACCTGACTACCTACCTAAATGTTAGACGTGTAGATAATTTCTATAAAAAAATTGGTGGAGTTATTGTATTGACTGTATTGGTACATATAGGTACTACAGATATGTTGATATGTATATAAATGATCAGTTATACTTATTTTACTTAATACAGCCATTTTTATCATTTATCGTCATTTAAATATAAAGTAAATGTTCGAGTATTCGTAGGGTTTAACGAATTTAAAATAATTTGTAAACCGTTTGGGATTATAGAACAATGAATAGCTATTACACGTGCCACGTATACAACATACTGAAATGTATATTTTAAACTTTACAGAACACGATCGACAGCTGCAATCATTACGACAGAATTTTCATGGCTCACAACGGTCCAGTTTACGGAATCAAATTTTCGCCTTTCTGCTCGAGTATTTTTATAACATACGGAGCTGACTGGCAAATAAAAATTTGGATGGAAAACGTCAACGTGCCATTACTATCCCTGTGTTATTGCGTACGTTTGTTGGGCACACTACATTAAACGGTTTTAGATTCAAACAAGTTAGGAAAGCTCACCCTGCAGCAAGCGTGCTGAATTTCCGATTTCCAACCTTAAATCTCACGCAATAAATTGTATTTCCATGTTATATATTTTATACTGTCCGGTAACTATACGGGCAATAAATAAATTTATTTTGATATCAATAATCGTAACTAATGGACGGGTAGACATAACGGGGATATAAGGTAGGTTCTAAACATAATATTATGTTTAGAAACTTAAAAAGTGGGCAAGTGCATAGGTAGGTACCTTCGCTCTGTCGCTCTGCTGTACATTAGGTGCCGTGTACTCGGGTCACTGAAATTGATACGTTAAATTTGAATCCAATGATGTAAAATCATTGCTCATTTGTAGCCCTATACGAAAAAAGAATTCTGAGAGAAGACGGTTTATAAGTATTAGGTAGGTACTAATATAGTAGATATCTATCTACCTATACCTATCTATATGTTTTTATGATACTATTGCTATTGAAGTAATTTAATAGTAAAACATCAGTAATACAGTAGATTGAAATCATTTTGACTAAACAATTGTGTTTGAAAATGTCACTGTGTGTATAATAACTAAAATACAACATAACATACCTAATAAGTAATAATTTACTTTAAAAGTTTCAATTGCCCACGAATAATATTTTTAAATTGCTACAAAATAACCGAAATAGTTATTTTTTGTTTGAATATTTAATTTTGTTCAGTTTAAAATTTTTTTATTGTATTATGAAAAATTACTTATAAGAAATCTTGTATTAAATTTTTAATCATGAGCTATACAAATTCATTTTTAACAATAAAATGATTGGTGAATTTTGGTGATTTTGACGAATTTCGTCAAAGTATGGACATCTAATGTTCATAAAAAATTGTTCCTAAAGATTTTCAATATTTTTAAATTGCTATAACAACAACCTATGATTATAAATGTGCATGCTTTTACAAAAAATGTATAAAAGATATTTATAAAAAAAAGTAAAAATTGTATTATGTACCTATAGAAAATGATAAACTAAACATTTGGTTGATAATTCTAATTTCAAGCACCTATCGTTATTTATTTTTGGATTGCAAAAAATAAGAAAATAGTTATCCAATGTCGGAAAAACTTCAAAAGCTCATAAAATATTTAAGTACCTACCTATTTGACTTTTCGGTTAACTTTGTTCAAGGAAGAAAAACTTATGCGGAATTTTGTTTTAAATTTTCAAATATTGGATATAAATGAAAATGTTTGTTATGGTGTAAAAAATAACTGTTTTTATATTTTTTGGTTATAATACGAACTATTTATGAGAATTCTTGTTTTAAATTTTCAATTCTTAGCTATAAAAACAAAGCATTTTAACTGTCTCAAAAGGTGATGACAGGTACAAAAAAACATAAATCATTGTAGGATCAATATATTTATTGCTCTGCTCAGAAACTAAAATAAATAATAAAAAATATTTACTAAATAAAGTGTAAAATGCCAACGGCACGCAGTGTTCCCAAGCGGTCACCCATCCAAGTACTAACTACGCCCGACGTTGCTTAACTTCAGTGATCGGACGAGAACTGGTGTATTCAACGTGGTATGGTCGTTGGCACAGGTCACGTTGAAAATGACAGCATTTAAATTAACTACCTAAGAAAATATTCACATTTTTATGTGTAATTTTTAATTAACTTGCAGTAATGCTGTAGAGCTGTAGTTCTCAATTTTTTAAATACCATGACCTAAATTTCCCCCGAAAAATCTTTCACGACCCAAATTGTTTCACTTTTCAACAATTTGTGAAAAACAAAATTTGTATTACATAAATATGTAAACATTTTTATTAGGTACCTATTTTGTTTTTTTATAGGTTTAAAATTAATATGAATAAAAATATAATTAATATAATTAAAATGTACTTTTTATAATGAGGTACCTAACATAAATTTCTTGGAATCTATATAATTCCAAAAAATGTTCCTGACCCACCAAAAATTGACTGACGACCCACCAGTGGGTCGCGATCCACACTTTGAGAAACGCTGCAGTGTAGACTGTAGAGCATAGACCCATAGACCATAGAAGTGTAGTGAATAATGAAATAAGAATAACTGATGTCTATTATGTTATTTATGATTTATTTTTTTTCTATATAAAGAAATAATATATACAATATACATATACTATATACCTACATTATATTATTATAATAATTAAATAATGTATACAAGTAAAGTATTCAAATCTAACATAGTTATTATACACAAACATTTTATGAATTTCTAAGTTCTGACTCTGTCAGTATTTTTCACTAAAAAAACTAAATCAATTTAAACGATTATAACCATATATATACTATTTCCTTAATTTTTGGTTCCGAAGCTTTTGAAAACTACTAGAAATTGTTTACTCACCTCTCAACGTGTACTATCAAAATGAAGTTACCTTCTTACTAGAAAAGAAGCTAAACAGATGTAGAAAATCGAATCATTTTCACTGTCCTAAAGGGTGATGTCAGAGAAAAAAAATACACACACATAATTGTAAAATCAACATATTCATCACTACACTTAAATATAAAGTATAATATCATCGTTTCTGATATAACTTAATGAAATTTTGGATGCTTTGCAGAACGCTGTAGACGATGCCGATTGGTCACCCATCAACTCCACGGTTATTGTCAGTGTTAGCGGAGCAGTGATATGCATTTGGGATTTCGCACGAAAAACGGTCGAGCCTGTCATGATGTTCACGTGCAATACTGGTGTACACTTCTCACTGGTGAAATTTTCTAAACACGGTAATGTGAGTGCCTATCATTCGATTAATACCTATTCATGTATGAATCCCATTGCTTTAAGTATTAATATTGTGAGTTTTAGAACATTGTCACTGGTGATGCAAATGGTCTGGTTAGATGTTTTCACATCAGTAACATGCCTTCACCGTCATTTCTCCAAGTAGGTAATATTTTAAATTACTAATGATGTACAGCTCCTAATGAGTATAATTAATTTTAACAAAATACACCGGTTTTTAAAATGATAGATATAGTATGTATTGTAGGTACTTACTAGTTATCTGATTGTTTAGTGTTCAAACCTACCTATAATATAGGTACCTAATTGAGAATTTGAGAAGCATACCTATTTCCAAAACAGATTAAGCACTAAGTTTTTAGATTTTGGGAAAATATGCAAAATACTGTTTAAAATATTTTAATTTATGGTTGTAGGTAACGTGTAATTCTTATTAAGATGTTTTGGTAACTATGCAATATGTGTTACGCTCAAATACTTTTAACCAAACAGTTTAAAAAAAAATGTATATCAGATACATAATCACTTATCAAATTGGAGATAGGCTACTCAATTATTAGTAATTTATTTGGTGTTTGAAAGTTTAGTGATAAACTATATCATAATGACATAATATTAATTTTAACTGCAGTACAATACATTTTAATTTTTGTTTTAGAAAAATTCTATTCTAACAGCTCTGGAGAATATGATGTCATCGAATCCTGAACTTGTTCAAATAATTAAAAAAACAATGATGAACAAATAAAAAAAACTTTGGATAAATTATAATATTAAATAATTTAAACGTTTTATATTTTTTATAAACCTCTATTTTCACTTTTATTGGATAATTATGAATTTTTATGTGACTAATATGAAACAGTGATTATGAACAAACATGAGATAATATAATTATTGTTTATAATTACCTGTATATTTCTTATAGTATCTTATTGAAGTATACCTAAAAACTATGTGTTTTTTGTAACACAGTTTTGATGATGCCATTTGGTGACACCAGTAGTAGTTAAGTTTAAACTAAGTCTTGTAAATCTGCAAGTGTATGTGTAACAAATAAACCTTTGACTCAAAAATAATAGTCTACTTCAACAAATGATTTTGATAATCACATATGCAGAACTTATAATACTCCACTTGTTTTGATTTAGTTATGTTAATAAAATAATTTTAACATTTTATGCATAAGATGCACCATGGCACTTCGTTCATTTAATTGCTATACTATTGAACAGTGCTTCTCAGCATTTTATGAAAATGACACTCTTATTAGATCCATACAAATGGTGACACACTTAAAACAAATGGCTTTTTGAAAAAGTAACAACCTTAAACATTTTGTTAATTGAGAATGCGACTATCTTCACAATTGATTTATTAATCATTTTCTCAGATTTTTACCATCACCCCATAACACCATAATTGATGCATATATTTATATTTAGAACCTATTTAACAATATAAATAAACAGTTGTTTTTGTGACGCACACCACAGTAATATGCTACACACAGGTTGAGAACCATTGCTATAAAATACTAATACTTTATCATAGTCAAGAGTTCAAAAAATAAGTGCTGCTGTCATATGCCAAGCAAAATTTTTGTGTTAGTGGTATCCAAATCATAAATATACACATTTTTTTTTTAAATTATTAAATTATTTATAACACGAGTGTTATTTGTTTTATATTGTAAGGTTACCTATATTTTTATAATCGATTTATTTTATAATATATGATGATATAGAATAACGTAAAGTCAGCATAACAGTAAAATGCTAAGAACCAATCATTTCAATGATGGGTATGAACAACTGGCTGCAGGGACCAGTGCCCATTGACTATAGACTTTATTTTGGAGGTAAAAACCCATAACAAAAATAAAAACTTTTTATAGATAAAAACTTACTGGATGATTTTTAATTTTGTTTAACCAATAATATAATGCTTTAGTGAATATTGCCATATAGAATTCAATAATTATTATAAAAAAAATCGGGAATGATCTTAAGATAAATTATATACAAAAATAAATTAAACAAAGTAATTAAGCTCTATTATATTTTCCCCAAATATGCAACATAAAAACGGAGGCAATGAACAACAAAGACATCACTAACACGGGCACAGGTCCTCTGAAAAATAAACAATAAAAACCATTAAATCAATGTCACATGAATATTACATAATATTATAAAGTTAACTTTTAATTATAATGTTTATTAACATGTTCACTTCCGTTGCCGATCGTGATCATCACAGTGCATATTGAAAATACACTCCTATAATTATTCGGCCATAGAGGCACTGTTTTATTATTTATCCGGCCATTCAGAACATACCAACAGAAAATTCATATCAGTCGGTTTTTGGTTTCCCGCTTTTTTCGTATACTTTAATTGTCCCGAGTATGTTATTCGTAAATACGTGGCGTGTGGAACCAGATTAGAAATATACGTACAGCAGTGAACGTGTTAGAAATATAAAAAGGCACTACATTTTTTGTTAAGATCAAATGTAAAAACTTTAGCATGCATGAATTATAATAGTCCCAAAACTATGAATTAAAATAAATAAATAAAATATGATGATAATTCAACAAATGATGTGTGTATGTAAAAATAGTATAAGCTTTAAATATTAAAACATTTAAGAAAATGCTTACACTTTAATTCCAGGTGAGTCATCTGTGTAGAAACGCCACATACCTCCACTGCTAGTTCCAGTGTTACGGTTTCTAACTGATGTAGTGGGTGCAGCAGTTTTTCTATAAAATAAATTAACCATGAAATAAAGTTAACAGTAATTGGTAAACAATAAATACAAATATATGAATATTTGAAAATTTATGTTATAAACAGCTATCATATTTTAGAAAACAATATTTATTGAGAGTAAGCTAAAAAAAAATCAATAAGTAACAGAACAATTAAAACTTGATATATATAAGGTTTATTATTACCGCTGTCTAAGCACATTTCCGGCAGTTCTAGATGCGCCTGGTTTAGATGGAGACCTGGGACCATTGTTGGTTGATTGCATTGCACTTGGATTTACAGGCTGAAAAATAAAGCATACTATTAGTTTTCCTGTTATCTCTTTGTAAATTATGTTCATAAGTCATAATAAAGTTATTTTTTGTTCATTTTTAGAAATATTAATAATTGCCTTAAAGAAACAAAAATATAGTAGGTTTACAACAATATTTAAAAGAATAAATCAATTTAAAAATATGATTCATCACTGATAAAGAGCTGCATAATTTTGGTAGTCAATGTTTTTCTAGGCTGTATTGGCTTTTCCAACTATAGGAGGGAAAACCATAAATAAACCAACAAAAGAACTATTATTATTAAGACTTAGATTTAAATGGCCTATCAAAAAGTGAAATTATGATCTAAATTCTAAAAAAAGTCTTGGAAAAATTCCCAGGGTTTCTTCAAAAATCTCAATCAATTTGTCAATCGTTTTATTTAAAAACCAAATTACCTGATGTAATATGATTATTTAAAAAACCTACCTTTGTGTATTAAATTTTTTATTATGTTACTAGAAATAGGTTAACCTAAACAAATAAATGATGCCCTAAAAACGTTTAAAAATGCACTTTAATATTATAAGCCTCAATAAAAAACCAAACAAAAATTTGTTGTAAGCATAGAGTATTTGAAACACTTTTGTATCTGGGAAGCATTGTCTCAAGCATTTCAGAAAAAAAATGCAATTACGTCAAAATCCATGCCCTGATTATTATTATTATAATATTAATTATAAAAAGAAACAGCTATTATTGTTAGGTATCTACATAATTTTTAATTAATTAATCATCAATAAAAAAAAATATTTAACTATCATCAATGCACAGTATAGTTATATTGAGTTTCATGATATTTTTTTTACATTTAAAAAATAACATTACCTACACAACTCAAAAATTATCATATTTACCAACACGAGTTTACAATAAACAGAAGGAGATTGTTACAAACAATGATATACATATAATGACATAAACTATTTTTAATGTGTTTTGATTAAAATAAGGACTATAGTTATTTTTTCTTCATAAATTGTTTTACTAGTACAAATCAATACTTTCTATTACATTTAAATAGGTGGTTTAATGTTCATGATTACCTTAAAGGTCACTAGGGCCTTTTTGATGTCAAATGTCAATTTTGAAAAATAATTTTATTATTATATTTTCTAAATTTTTAATAAAAATGATTTGAGTAAGACCGGGTTATTCTGTTTTATCCATGTGTACACCTATAGATAAATTTAAAAACATTCCATTTGATGGTAACACAATTTCAAAATTAGGTATTTTATATTTCTTGATAAAAATTATTACTTAAATAATCCTTATAATAAATTGAGTAGTTTTATTTTAAGTTAAATATATGTTTCATATTTTACATCACATTTATAAACTTACGGAATTTGTATTATTTACATTAACATACTATTTAATAATATTTTAAGAAACTGATTGAAAAAATAATGTTTAAGTTAATAGGTAAAAAATAAATATTTATATTATAACTAGATAAATATAATATATAACATGTAGGTATATTTAAATTTGAATTAATAATTCAATTAAAATATGCCAAAACGCCCATCTTGAAGACTATAAAGAGCAGTGTACACAGACATTTCAATGGGAGTGGTTAAATTAAAAAAATATATTTATAAAATAGGTATATATCAAAATATATTTTTTAAATGTTATTAATTTTTATATAACTAAGCTGCATACCTAAAGTAAAAAAAATACTAAGACGGAGGGAGGGGGGTTGTCAGACACTCACTTCAATCTCACCTTAATCCATTATTATTCGTACTATTATAATTGAAATACCTGCGTTTAACTAATATCTTCTACCAAGTTAATGAAATTGCCAAGGTGTGACTGATAACCGACGGGTTAACCAGTACTTTTAAAAATGTTAAAAGATAGAGCAAGACACCAAACCTTATCCTTGTCTCACAAACATAGTTGATATTAACACAAGTTCAGCAGAATCAATTTTGTGTTGGATTACATTTTGGAATGGATTGATCTATTATCAATCTTAAATGTGAGGATATTATCTAGGACAGAGATGGCAAACCTATGACACGTGTACACTATTTTAGTGAAACACATGAATGTGTAGAAGTTTGATGATACTAAAGTTTTTGAAAAAATAATTAAAGGGTTATCGAATTAGTTGACACAGGGAAAACAAAATCCAACCAACATTTTTATTTAACACGCTGGTACAAAAAGGTTTGCCATCCCTGATTTAGGACTTCTCATTGTCTTTTATTAGTACTTTAATTTTAAAGCGGGTTACCTATACCTAACTTAATATGTAAAATATTAATAATTTATGGTCATAACTCATAACTCGCTAAAAAATTGTTATGTTGATATGTCAATAAGATGCCCTAAACACCTAGTCTTTTTACCTTTAAATTTAATAATAGATTAATATACGCTTAATATTAAATCTAACAAAACAAATTTAGTTTTGCTGAATGTATAATTGCTTTTTTGAATATGTAAAAGATGGAGAAAGAACACATGCTTTCAAAAATACAATAACCTCTTTGAAGAATTGTTTAATGCAAAGGACTTAAAGGTCTTAATGCAATGTTCCACAGAGCATGAACCACGCTTTTGGAACCAAGCATGATACCACCTAACATGTTGGATTTTTGGTCGTGAGATAAATCGCGAAGGTGGCGCGGCGTGGTACACTCTTGTTATTGAGAACCCTGCATTACACATATTTATATATTTTTAAGTAATTATCATGGTAAATTTATTGTGGTACCTTTCACCAGCTTTTAAAACGGTATTATAATTGTTGAGGTCTCAATAAGGGTTTTGAAAATTTGAACCTGTGTAAACAGATCGTGTGAACAGTCTTAAAATGATTGGCTAAATCTAAAATATCGCAGCTATAACTCTACCCTGCAATAGATTGAAAATTACTAAGTATCGGTAAGCACTCCGTTATCAAAAAATTGTCAATTTTTTTCCACCTAACCTTTTCCCCATAACTATTTGAAACAGTGCAATGTACTAATGTGTACGGCAAGCAAATTACCAAGCGCCCATAAGTGCGGAGACGGCGTCGGGAACGCACCTATAGGACACGTATCGCGTTTCCGTCGATGGCCACTCGCAAGTACGTTGGACACGCCGACATTGCGACGATCGACCGTAAAAAGACGACGCGAAGATCACCCGGGTCGTAAATTAAATAATAAACTGTGAAAAACAATAATGCTCACCATTTTTGACGGTTGTCGTTGATCGATTCTTCAAAACGGGCGAAAACTGATAGAACGGCGACGATGGCGGATGGACGCAAGACGTGTAGTGAAGACGTGTAACGTGTATAAATATTAGAACGGTGAATTCGTGTCGCCGCCGCGTCCAGTCTGGTTTAGCGCTACGTGTTGTGGAACAGCGGCGGGTCGCGGGGACTGTACACGTTGTCACGAACGCGATAATGCCGTGCTGTGCGTTGGCATCACGGAGGCGCCAATGGTGGGACGCGTGGAGCATGGTGGAGGCCGACCGGCCGAGTGCCGACGGAACACGGTTAGCAAACGGTGACCGTCGAACACGGGGATCCGCGTTGAATAATCGTGATATTAATTCTGTAACTGTACCAACTATATAGTATACTATATAGTACTATAATAGGTGTTATATTTATTAGGCTTATTAATACTGAATGCTTTTATAAAAAATAGGAGATATTTTATAGCTAGGGCTGTGAATTTAATGCACTAAAAAACCTTAAAAAATACATTAAAAATTTCAACAAAATGCAATAAAAAATGCACTTAAAATGCAAAAAAAAGCAATTTAAAATTCTAGAACTTCTAGTATAAGATTTATTTAAAATGGTTTTTAATTTATTTTTTACATTTATATTAATTTTGGGTACAGGACATTATACATAAGTACATTACATGCATAAAAAAGTGTTTATTTAATAAAAAATAAATAATAAAAATGTTGATTGAATTTGAATTTTCTATACTTAATGCTATTCACTTGGAACATTAAAAAAATGTTTTTTTGTATTTATTTCGTTAAAATAATAAAAAATACATTTGTTTAAGGGTACCTTAATCATCTTTAGTAACTTAGTGTACAATTAACTACTAAAATAATTAATCAACCGACTTAATCTAGGGATTCCTGACTGATATACGATATGCCACAAATACTTTATGTATTTATCTAGCAATTGTCTTAATTTAACGGCGTATATACAAAGTCTTTGAACAAAAATAAATTTTTTTTTTCAATCATTTTTTCTGTCAATTGACAAAGTTTGATTATAAATACTGAAAATGAACTAAAAAAGGAAAACATGACCTAAAAATGGACAAAAATGACCTAAACAATCAAAAACGTCAAAAATGCAAAATAAAAGTTGCATAAATGGATTTGTAGTTACACAATTCAATACCTATTCAAATTATATACTAACAAAGCTACGTTTCAAAATCGGCAAAAAAAATAATACACTTTTCTACATATTCACAGCCCTATTTATAACATTAGGCGGCATTATTTTTCATAACATCACCGACGGTCGACGGTCAACAGGGTAGGTACCTATAATATTATGATTGATTGAATGCAGAGAACTTTCTGGTAAGTGGCAAGGCAGCAGGTGGGTGTTACCGAGTCGAGTTACACATAAGTTTAAACCACAATCGAAGATCTTATATATTTTAAGGATTTTATAGTTAAAAAAAAAATTAAATTTTTTTTTGTTTACCTAATTGCATTTTTAATCGTGCATTTAAGCTTGTTGAAAGAGAGTAATATTTTCGTGTATTTAGACCACTAAACAGAAGATAAATAAATATATTTAAATAAGTCAAATTAAAATTTTTAATTGATTGAATTTGTTGGCTTTTTGTCTGTGGTTTGTAGGAAATAAGCTTTATTTTAGTAATTAAATTTGTATTTATTTTATTCGTTGTATTATTATTATTGCTCTAAGATTTAGAGGTTTAATCAAGTATAAAGTATCTATAATAGATATCTTTAACTTTTTCGTAATGAAGATAAACTTCATAGATTTATAAATATTAAATATATTTTGATATTTACAAATATGTACCTAATAACTCATACAAATTGTTAAATGCGTAACATTTTTAAGGGGTTGGGTTTAGGCAATATTCTGTATAAATATCGTGATTCGCGAGTTCTATGGGACTGATCATTAATCTTTAAAAGACAAACTAAAGCCAAATACTATAGATTATAGTATTTATATAGTATATATAACATTTTATTATAGTATTCATATACTATAGTATTTGCTAAAGCTCAGATTCTTCTTCTTGGAAATTCGGAAAGCACATACATACAATTACCCGTATCACTTTATTTTGAGATAAAAAGTTGTATTCGTAATACCTAAGTTCTAAGTACCTAGGTATTTTAGGTATTTTTCTAATTTTCTAATTTTTGTAATAAGGCAGTGTATTGCAGTATGGGAAATCATTTTTGGATTATATTTAGGTAAGCATAGTACCTGCCTATTTTTTTATTAATAGTATTTTTATTTTTATAATTTATATGACAAAATATGACGAGTAGTTATACCTATTTTTGTTGTGTTTTGTGTAGAAATTTAAATTATTATTTTGAGCAACACTAAAGTATTCATTTCAAGTTTAGACCTTTTTTAAAACAGTTGCAAATTGTTTAATTTTTTGGTTAAGCATAAATAATAACTGCATATAATTTAGCTTACGTCAAACTATTGTAGCCTGTAGGTACCCACGACATATTATTTGCGCATTAAGCCACGCAATTTAACAACGTAATCACAACACTGTAAACTAATTAATAAAAATAAAAACTAATGGCCCGTACGCCCCGAACAGTCAATGTTTTCCGAAGGTCGATGATAAAAAAAAAAGATTATAGAACTGGAAAAGTTTAGGGTTTCAGGAGTATCTCGAAAGCGAAATATGTTTATTAACTTGCAGCAAAAGCTTGTAAAATTAAATTTTCAAATACTGCAGTGTGTCAGTGTTGGTATTTAAGTATTTCTATTTAGAAATACCTACCTATATACCTACCTATGTGGCTATATGTTTATTACAACAAGATTTAACAACTGAAGTGTATAGTCGACTCATAACTACGACCACGTGAGTATGTGACCATTTATAGATTTTTTAATTTTTATCACAATATTATATAAGTACATATTATAAATTATTTAATTAGGTAATTAATTAATCATTATATATATAAAAAAAACTTGAAAATTTAGTGCAAGGTTCCTCATAAGTTGTTGTTGAACCACGAAAATCACGATAATTTGGAGATTATTTTTAGTTGGATGTTCATAAAAATTTTTTTTTATATCTAAGATTTAAAAGTGTAATACAAAATGACCCCTAAGTGTCCCTACTTATAACAAAAAAAATGTCTGGCCAAAAATCAAATAATATTTTTATGGTCCTTATTGAAGTTCAAATTTTTGCGAAATAGGATATGTTCACATGATTAAACTCGTGGATTTTCGTAATTTTGTAAATTATTTTGTAGTTAATATATATAAAATGTTTAATTTATATAGCTAAGAGCTGAAAATTTAAAACAAAGTTTTCTCACCAAGTAGCCTCATACTGTAACCAAAAAATCTAAAAAATACATAAACATATTTATTATTTATGGACATCTTAAGTTAAAATTTGGACCAAATTAATGACCTACCTATTTAAACAATGAATTAACATTTTAGTTATTTTGTTGTAATTTAAAAATATTATTTGTGGGTACTTGAAACTTTAAAATATATTTTTATATTTTATATACACACAATGACATTTTCAAATGCAATTTTTTCGGCACTTATTAATTAAACCTACCTTAGTACTACTGCTCAATAGCAAAATAAATTTCTTTGAATCGCAATACTAAGTATCATACTTATAAATGTTATAGGCTGACAGTCGGCAGATCATCTTCTCTTTGAATAGTTTTTGTATACAATAATTTTATATCATTGAATTCAAATTTAATACAACCAATTGTAACTTATCTAGACACAGTATGTACCTACAACAGAGCGTTACCCATTTGTCTGTTTTTTTAAAACATTTATTTATTTGGTTAAAAAATGATTAAATTACCACATTTCTCAATCAATAATTAAATGTTTTATTTAGTACCATCCTTAAACTGTCAACTGATGTATAGATTATTATACTCTGAACATGTAGATATGTCACAAATATTATTAATCGTTTTCATCTAATTTATTAAGACTCAAGTAATTATAAATATTTTTATATTTATATTACCTACACGAAATAGATGAGCTTAAGGCTATAACTATTAATTTTAGAGGAAATTCAAAAGTATTTCAAAAGCGGGAGCAATGTATTGAAATTAAATTATGCAATTTAGAGGGCAATTCATTTAGTCTGTACTCTGTAACCTTTGTCTTGGTATTTATTGAACACAACTTTTATACTTATCAAAATTACTTAACTCAGGTTAAATACATAATTTACCTAATCAATATGTAACATGGGCCATGGTACATAGTTATAATCATTGGTAATAAAAGATTTATCATAGTAAGTTACTAACAAAATTAGTAATTACAAGCTGACATTTTTAAACAATAAAACTAAAATTAAAAGACTTACTGGGTATCTCACTATTAGTTTAGAGTCAAGATACCATTTAAATACATTTAATAAAATACCTTATGGTAAGAATTATAATAATTTAGAAATATGTAGCCATACAGGTAAATAATATATAAATAACATTTTTCTGTAGAAAAAAAAATTTGTTTTATAAACCCACTGAGGTATTTTACAATTATATATTATTTAATTAAAAATAATTATAATAATTATACAATATAATATACTCAATGGTTTAATCATGTACACAACTATACATTTTTAATATACTTAGCATACATAGTCTCAATAAATCTTTGAATAATATGTCTTAAAAATATTTTATATTATTATTAATTATAAGTTACAACAACACAATTTTGGACTATTAATAATTTTTTAAGTATCAATATTTTAAATGAAATGGATAGTATAATTTATATTTGAAGGGTTCCCAGCCAGTGGCATTACTAGAATTTTGGGCCCCCAATGAAAAGGAATTTTTAGGGTCCTATTTTTAATTATATCTAAGCATTGTTATATATTTTAATGATGTATTAAGAAATTATCCCTTTTCTAAAACTGTATCCCTAGATTTGTATCTGTAGCAAAAATTGTTCTTGTTTCACTCAATAATTATTTTTAACGTTCCTCACTTTATTATCACCAAAAATTTACAATATATTAAAATAATTTAAATCCTGTTTTGAAATTAATAAATAATAATAAATCTTAATTTGTTTAACAATAATTTTAAACAATAATATTCAATCAAGTAAACAAATATTTTATAACTGATTCTTTTATATTAAAGTCAATGAAATGAGACTTTAATGTTTATAAATTTAAAAATTAGAAATTATATTATAAATGTTAAGTATTTGATATTTGTATTTTAATAGGTTTTTGCACCTAAATAGTATATAATATAAATTAATTGGTACGGTAATCTTTACAGAATTCCAATCATATAAATTAGTTTTTTTTATCATTAATAATTAGATATTCTAATAATCAATTATTATATTACATAAAGATTCTAAATTTATTCAATTTACCACAGAAATAACAAACGATTTGTTTTTTTGGTAAACACAATTTAACAAAGAATAAAAAATAATATACCCTCTGGCCACCGTTGACCAAATGCTCATAAAGTGAATTTTTTTTTTGTGTATATGCATTTGTTTGTATAATATATTGTTATGACTCTAAAAGTATATGTCGTATACTCGCCAGTTCCCGATACGCCATTGGATTCGGACTTATTATCCTTGATCACAAAATTAATTGGTTCTTTTTCTTACCTTTAAACGGTAATATTATTAAATAGGCAACAAGGTAGAATTTAATTTATGTTCTACAATTAAGTAAGAAATTTTAATCTGATATAATGAATACAATACATTGTTTAGATGTATTAATATAATATGTATATTAAGTAAAAATTGGAATTTATTATTAACGAGTTAGATAGTATAAAATCACGCCAAAAACAAATAATATTAGTACATTAATTTTGGTTTTTATAATAGTGTTATATTTTTTCATACGTCTATATATTTTATGATAGCCAGAAATGATAACCTGAAACCCAGGGGCCTAACTCCTAATATGAGGTATCTGCAACCACATTGTTGTGCTGCCAATAATGAAAAAGTCATGTTAGGTAAGGGTGATGTACATCCTCCAATAAGATTAACCATCTTATCAAAAATTATTTTATTTATCCAATTAAACGTTAATATATTATTCATTTGTAGTAGATAAATTATTTTTTTGCAAAAATATGGTGTAATAGAATCAATAAAAAAAATCATATTTTATAAATTAGAGTAACACTCAAGTTTAAATGTAGATTAAAAGTATTAAGTCCAGTAAATAATTATGAAAAATGATAAAATGTGTTATCTTAATGTATAATTTTTAAAACCATTTATAAAAAGTACAATAAAATGTAATAAATCATTTTACTTGAAATATAACTAAAGAATAGGTAAAAATTTGCTATAAAAGCGTATTCATAAATTAAAGTCATAGTAATTCATGTATTTGATTTCTTAAAATATTATTTAAAGTTTTTAACAAAACCAAAACACTTTTTTTTGAAATAACTATTTCCCAAAATTATAATCTTTTACCACCTAATTTTAAGGATTGTTTGCTGCTACGTTTTGATTCTAATTGTTTTATACGTTCTTGTTTTCTTTCTTCACGTTTTTTGCGCATTTCTTCTTTTAATAACTCAGCCTCTGCTTCTATAAAATCAATTTTTTAAAATGCGTTATAGATTGATATTTTTTAATTCAAACGGTTAATAAGATACTCACTTTTTGCAAGTTCATCAGAATCATCCAGTAAAATAGGCTCTTGATCTTCCCAACCGAAATCAGATTTATCTTTCAAAGAATTCTATAACAATAAATCACATTGCAAATTATATTAGAATTTAATTACCAATTAGAGAAAATAAAAAATAATAATAATAATTTAATTTTTATCTGTATGGTAACAAAAGATTGATTATCTAAATATCGACAGCACAAAATATCAATTAAGTGTCAAATAATGAAAGTATTGACAAATTAAAATTACTGTATGTAGGAAGATACTTCCAAGATTTTTCATATCAACAATATATGAGTATACTACACAGGTAGACAGGCATAGTATCAGCTATTATACTGGTGTCATGTCTTCAGTGCAGTGTAGAAAAGTATTTGGGAAAAATTATTAAATTTGTTTAATGTAGAAAAACTTTCAACAAATGTATTCAAAATACTATGTTACCATTTACCATAGAAAGATAGCATATACCAGCTGTTGGTTATCATTTAGTTCCACTCAATATCTATGGTAAAATGCTAATCAATTATTTTCCACAGGTTTCCAGTGCACTATCAATTTATATAGTTGTTTTTATTCATAATTTAATTTTTATACATCAATTTTAATACTGCATTAATAAAAATAATCAATAGATATTAGAAACTTTATATAATGTAATACTTAATTATGTGTGTATCACCAATTTATGACCTATATAGTTAAGTTAAATAATATGTATTGATAACCAAAACTAAAAGTATTTGAAATTTATTAAAATAAATTATTTTTCACAATAAGTATTTAAGTATGTATTATTAAATCTAAATACATTTTTGTTATCTGTACAGAAATATTTTTTAATATATCCCTTTGTACACCACAGGTTTAGTGTAACTGTGAAGGCGATAAACAGATATTTTTATTATTGATAGAAGTCTAGAGTTGTATGTTTTTAAATTATGATTAATATTTATGAAATATTTGATTTTTTAAATTAAGAAAACTTAATATTTGTATATATATTATTAGTTTTTTTGTTATAGTAATGTTATCATAATATGATGTATTAGGTTTATTAAATTAAGTCATTTTTTATAATATGTTTTATGGGGGGGTTTTAATTTCTTGATATTTTAAACCTATCAATGTTTTGACTAATCTATATTGCAACTGTCTGCATTTAAACTGTATTCTATTATTATAAATTATACTGTACCGAAGTATCAACACCAATACTTTCCCAATCATCTCCAACATTCCATCCAGAGTTATCATCCCAGTCATTGGGTAATGTAGAATCTTCTATGGAATTTTTGTGATTTAGTGAGTCCTAGGAATAAAAAGATTTATAGTTAAATTTAAGAAATATTTATAAAACTCTAATTGTTAAGCTTTTTTAAATCATTTACATGAAAAAAAAATGAATTTGTGAACATATATTTTTATCCATTAGCATTTTGATGTATCAAGGTAACTAAATTAACTATTTATTTATTATTGTTTAAGATCAAAGATCTAACCTGAAATATATTTATACTGTTAACTGGTTTCTCTTCATACACATTTTTCACAACATTGTCTTTAAGTGAATTACTGTACGCCTGTTGTTCACAGTTGCTTATATTTGAGTTATCTTAAATCAAGTTAAGACAAGATGAAATAGTTATGACCAGTACGGTTTTTTTGAATTAGTAGATAAAGTAAAATTAAGGATTTGTCAATAAATATACTAACTCTTTGATAATTCTACTGATTTTTCATCTTTTTGAGGAATTTTGGATGAATAAAACTTGGAAGTTACTGTGGTAACAGCCCATCCTGCCCATGTGGGCATGGCTGGACTTGTAGTATTGGCAACTTCTTCTTCTACAAAATACAATGAACTCATATTCATTTTCATTTAAAATCAATACAATTGGCGTGCGCTAACCTTGTTGACATAGGATAGTAGGTTGAAGTAATTCTATCGTGGTTCATGGTGAACACAGAAAAAGAGGAGGGAAAACTTTCATAACACTAAATCCTTGGAATGGCTTGGTAGGCAATAAACTCCCAAGATAATGTGCCTTTTTTGGACAGTTTTTTTAGTAGGATCTTTAAAGATAATTTACTATTATTAATATTGATAATGATTTAAGATTGCTTAATATATTGTATTTGGAGTAGGGAATTTGGCCGGCTAGATATACAGCTACTAACCCTGCCAATCCAGTGCGCACGCTAATGTTCACAAATTATTTAATGCTAGATAACACATAAATCTCTACCCATTTTTTCTTTTAATCTTGCATCCTCTGAAACATTTTCAAGCTTTCCTAAAAATCCTTTGATTGTTTGAAAGGTAATATCTCGTACTGCTTTTTCAGGGTCAAGAGTTACTTGACACAATGCTGGCAATACTCTGGTCGATACTTCAATCAAAGGATAATACTGTTGAGTAGCCGAAAATGCTGAAACACCTAATTATAATAATAATTGCATTAAAACATAATACTCAATAAAAATAAATAATTACATATACACAATTAGATTAGAACAACCTGCCATTCTTGATGGTTGAAATGGATCTTTAAGTGCACGACTAAAAGCGGAGGATAATATTTTACTCCTATTTTTTGGGTCTAAATATTGAGCTATTTTACCCAAGCACACAGTAGTGTTAGTCCTTATACTACCCTGCATTTAAAAATATATAATATCAATAAATTATAATTTATATATCTTTTAATGTGTTATACCTGATCATCTTTCATTTGTAAGCGAGCAAAATGTCGCATTAACTCCACATTTAAATTATTATAATTTAATTTTGAACTTATATAAACCATACTCTAAATAAAAAGTCTGTAATTAATATATTTTTACTTTATGATTTGATAAATGACTTACTCGAACAGTCAATTCTCTTATAGTCGGACTAGCATCAGCAAGACCACTAACTAATAGTGGGAATATATTTGTGTTCAATAAATCGGCTTTTAATCGGCCTGTAACATAATAAATAAACAATTATAAAGATGAAAATAGTGACATTTTAAATAATTCACTATTATAAGACTATCAATAGTTCAAACAAATGTTGGTATATATCAATAATTAACATATAGTTAACATATTATGAACATACTTGCATATAGTTCAATTGTATTGAGTAATAATAATCTGGTAGCTCGATCGTTGGACTCATATAGTTTGATAATACAAGGCACTATTTTCTCCTCAAACTCCTGATCATCTAACATGGTACTTAACTAGAGGAAACAAAATTATATTGACCAAGTACACAAATAATTTTCAATTCTCTATAAATAAATATTTTGATTACCTTTATCATTGAAGGAAATATAACTTTTTGTTCTTTAACATAATTAAACATTTCAAGAAGACTAGGCAACACATTGTATAGGGCTATATTTTTGGGATATGTTTCTAGTAAGCTAGGCAATTTCTCAAGAAATGCTGTTCTTTGAAAATCATCTAGTATATGATATTGGCTTAATGATGTCATGGTTTTTTCCAAGTCATTACCAAAATATCCTTGTTCTCGTAATGTAGAAGTCACAATATCATATGATGGGCGGTTCATAGGGTCTAATGCTACCAACTTTGGATATATTGTCAAAATCTCTTTAGGAATCTGTAAAATCAAAGTCAAACAATATTATTTGTTAATTTTTAATTTTTTTAATATTTTAAGTAAAATTATAATACCTTTTTTGGAATTTTTAATGCTGATTGATTAGTTAATGGGCCATTGAATACTTCCCATATTAGCACACCGAGACCCCACATGTCAATTGAACTATAAATAAACATCAATTGTACATAATAACATTTTAATAACAAAACAGCAAAGTACATGTGTAAAATAATTAGTGATGCCATACATATTATCTAGGCACCTATTACCAATTACAAATAATCTAAAAAACATTGTTTTTTTTTTTGTGATTGAAAAATATGTTATGGTTGTTAAGTATGTATAAATAGTATAATATGTTATTAATTTAAGTATATATTTTATTAAGACATTAAATTATAACCTATTACATTTTAGAAAATCAATGTTAAAATTAACCCCCACCAAAATTAAGTTTGTTCTATGTATACAGAGTTGGGTAAGTTCCTTTTTAAAAATAACTTAGTTACGTCAATTGTTACAAAATTAAAAGGTAACAAGGTTACTTTTTTGTTACCAAACCACAAATGTAATAGATAACCTTTATTTTTTTAATTCAAAAGTAATTATTAACTAGTTAAATAATAATAATAATAATAATAATAATAATGTTGCTTTCAAAATTTTGAAATGTCTAAAAATAACATACAATTTAAAATAATAATTTATGCAAGTAAATATTTTTCTTTATTTCATACTCATTTTATATAATAATGTATCCTAAAAATTATTGTCACTTAATTGTGATCGTTGTTAAGTTCAAACATGGCTATACGAAAAAAGCGCAATCAGAAGCGTTTGAACAGCGTGATGTATTAAAATTAGAAACATTTGTTTTATCATTGAAAATCCATTTAATATTCTTAAATCACCGAAGTAAAGATTATTATAAGATATCATTTCAGCTCATTTACAAATTACACACTATCTGTGCTTTTAGATAATGAGACAAACAAATTAAATTAAGAATTTAACTTAACATTTAACAAAGTTATTTATAAAATTAATAGTTAATGTAGTTACTCTTGAATTATTTGAATAACAAATAACAAAGTTACATAATGTTACTTAAAAAAATCTATGTTTTGTTATTAGTCCAGAGCTAGGATTTTGGTGACTTTTGCATTTTTTTCTTTAAGTGTTATACAGTTCTAACCAAAAACTAAATTTGTTTCAGGATATAATAATTTAGTATGTGTAATTTTAATTTTACATTAATTGCATTTTAAGCTCATTGTTATAAATATTTTGTTCATTATGTGTATATTAACTAATTTTTGTTTATTTTAAGTTTTTTTAATGTGTTTTATAGGTAATATCAATTACTACCTTTAGTACTCTTAGAAAATAGTACCTTTGAATTTATATCGACAACATACCATAATATTATCGCTGTTACACCCGTTTTCGATAAAATTATTGTAACCTATCAGCGAATCAGGAAAATTGAAACTATATTAATAAAATAATATTACAAATATTTTAATACTGGTATATTTCTAGGCAAACTGAGTTGTTGGCGAATTGGGATTTGGCAAAGTCGGTAAGAATTGAAAAAGTAATATAATTAATTAAACTCACAAGTTAACTCAAATCTATCTATTAAATTTACTTCTTAAAACAAATTTTTACCTTTTTAGTGTCATATCAAAAATGAATAAAAAATAATTAATAATTAAAATAATATTTATTTTAAAATTAAATTTTTTTCGCTCATCTGAGTACTTTTAGAGTTTTTAGGTCATTCAAATCCTAGCTCTAACTTATTACCCAACATTGCATAAAGGCTAAAAATGTTAAATTCAAGGTATTTTTATAAAATTGTTTTCAAGTATTAACTTGAGGGTCTGGCAACCCAAAAAAAAAATTAATTATTTTCTCTTACAAAGGTGATTGCCGATGTCCTGGAGCACGATATAAATCACTAACATAAGATGGCGGAGAATTGTCAACAGAATTCATGTATTCTAATTCACCCAATTTCCATTGTCCGGCTTTATTTACGAATACTGACCAAATATTGACTTTATTGTGGCAGAGTTTTGCTTCAAAGTTTAAAAATTTTAATCCTTCCTGAAATATAAGTAAAATAAAATCTACTTTACATTCCCAAGTACTGAATGATATTAATGTCAAAAATGTACTCACTATTATATTGGATATTCCCCAAGCAATGTACTGTTTCATAATATCCGTATGAAGGTTGTTTTGAGATGATATAAATGATTGAAGTGGTTCAACATATTCAGTGGATAAATATATTATAGTTTTAACCTAAAAATAAATTAAATATTACAATATAAAAAATGTATATTTTTGGTTATTTGTTTTTAATGTGAGCAATTTATTTTTATTGAAGCCATATGAAATAAACATTTTTTTTGTTTACTTCTGAGCTTTCCAAAAAGCTGAGAATATTTGGATGTTTTAAAGTTTTCAAATGTTTCACAGCTGATTTAGCAAGTGCTGAACGGGTTTCACTTCCTGGAATGTCATCATTGATTAAAAATTCAAATATGGAAACTTCTTGTGTCGTGTTCTGTTAAAAAAATAAATATAACATGATGATTATTAGTAAGTAATTACACTAAAATATGAGGTGTTAAGTATTAAAAATATTTAGTAAATAGAAACAAAGTTTATAGGAAGTAGATAAATAATCTTTAAGTTGAGTGTAGTTGAGTATAAAAGTTATTTTGATTTTGAATAGATAATTATGTAAAATTAGATTTTCAAATAATGTATATACATGTTAATTGTTATATATCAGTCTACCAGCAATAAGAGTTACAAGACAGGCAATATAATGAAAAATAATATGAATAGCCGGAAAATAAATAATATTTACCAATAACTAAATTAGTAAAAATGTTAAAACATTAAACATTGGCCACCCCTGTTATATGTTATATTTGGCATAATGAAATAAGTATCAAATACTCAAAATGTGTTTTGAATAACTTATGTGGATAGGAAGGTTTATATTATGGCAGATGCTTAATTAAATTATGTGAAAAATGTATAAAAGTTATTAAATTAGTTGAAAATCTTTCTGTATATACCTATGTAATATTACTAATGAAAGAAATTAAGTACTAAATAAAATTCTTAAAATTAAATGTGGTTACCATTTTATCTATAATAATAATAATAATATTAGATAGTTTTGAATGATTGGCATTGCTCATTGACATTACTATGATTTGCAAATTGAAAATATTTGTTACCTGACATTATAGTATTAATAATAATAATAATGAGTTAAAATACAACCAGTAAATAATCAGATTTTTTTTATTCTTTATTCTTATAGTTAAAGTATTATTTAATTGTAGAAAAATTTTATTAAAAAAGTTATTAATAGAATAAATAACCTGAATAAAATTATACATCACAAATATCACTCAATCGATCAACGGTGAAGACACATAATTGATATCCAAAAATGTCAGTGAATAATTAAAAATTACATTTTTCATTTTTATCAGGATTCAAGCTTTGCTCTTACCTTCTTTTTCCCTTTATTCAGTTTCCACAGACTTTTTTCGTTGAATCCATACCTCGGGGATTCACTGATTTCATACGGAAAGTCTTTGGATGAGTCTCTTGAGAATATAGTCCACATAGTTGTAAATTATGAGCGTCTTTTTTAGAAGGTTTAAATCTAGACTACGGAATTAAACATAACTATTAACTATTATTATATTATAATAATGATAGGTAGACCCGAATTTAAAATACTCATTCAGACGCGTTTGAAGGATAAATGATTACAACTACGGATCGTACAAGGTACAGAAATGATTGACTACATCGAATCATGGCGAACTAATTATTTTGTCATGCATTAAACTGAGGAGTATAACATATCAACACTGGGTAAATATTACGTCTTGCGATGATTGATTTTACGAAATTAATTTGTTAATTGTCATTATTCACACTATATTTTGATGTCGTTGATAATAATATTTTATTATTTTGATAATATAGAATCACGCTTATCGCTGATAACAGGAAGTTCCAGACAAAGTGGAAATGTTTATTGATATACATATTATTGTATGTTCAATGTTGTATAATATTATGATTCGTGGTCCTACGAATTTAAGGACAGAATAGATAATAATATAATATATTATAAAATATACTTATAAACACCCTCTAAGTCTCAAGGAATTTATTGAAAATGGTCCAGCAGTTTTGGAGTAATGGAGTCTGAGTAACTTCAGACAAACCAAAGCGGATTAAAAATATAGAAATCAAATATTAAAATTATAAGTTTAAATCGTTATATCTGATCAATTATTATAGTATATTATATAACCCGCGGCAACCATTTACATGAAAACAATTTACTAAAAAAAACAATTTATATTTTATTGACTATAATGCGTAAGTCAACTTTTTAGTTTTTACCTAACCACTATATAGTTTAAAATTTGAATTCGTAGTTTTTTTCAATAGGTAATATCTATTTCCTGGGTTTTAATTGAAAACAATATTTAGTTTAAAATGTATGTCTTTATTAATAATTTTATCATTGAAAAAATAGTTGCGTTATTAAAGTGCTATAAAATACAGTTCTAATAGTTCTATTAAGTATTAGGTATTGGAGTCACTTTTATTATTAAATAAACCTATGACATATCTATCATTTACAAATATTGAATATTTGAATGTACTTATTCAAATTATTAAAAAATATCAATATTCGACACTTAAAATAAAATTTACAAAAAAAATAAATTGGTAGGTCAACAGATTTCGAAATAAAATTATAAAATATTGTTTTAGCACTAGGCAAATTATATTGTGGTGATACAACATTACAATGATATATTCTGTGGGTGATTTTTATAATATCTATCTTAATTCAAATTAAAAAAAAAAAACAGGTATAAGTTAACTGAAAATTGAGAATTCCTTTTGTTTTTATTCGAATACCTATTTATTATATAAATAGATCGACAGCCGCAGATTGTAGGTATATGCATAACTCAACGCATAGGTACGTTTGAATTTGAAATATTCTAATCACAGATTAATTATAGAGACAAGTTAAAATTATTTTATCGACATAGGTACCCACCTACTATTTACTAGGCAACCTACTGGAAACTGATCCAAAATCCAAATGACCTATTATTTGTATTTTGTATAATAAATTGAATCAACTAACAATTTAAGTCCTTTTAAATTTTCTCACATTTTTATAAATGTGTAGTAGTATAAAACCTACTCAAATAAAAAAAAAGGTAACGTTTTTACACTCGTGTACGAAATTAAATAGTACGATGTTCAAAAAATGAATAAGATGTGGCATTTGCGTCACACAAGTAAAACGATGAACAATTTTCCGCTGTCTCAAAAATCGCATCGGGCCTAGGCTGCAGCTGACCTATATAATATGTCGCTCACTCCTTCCCTTTCAGGGCCTGGGCTCAGGACCCACCAGGTTATCGATGATAGAATTTATATCACAATAATACATATAGAGTATTTGCATAATGTTTTTATTTATCTGTAGGATATAATATGCCGGGTGCTCGGGCATAATAATTAATAATTATTGATTTTAGAATTATGGGGTTGCCAACGCACTGCTGGGAGAAAACGTCATTGTTTGTCAGCGGTGGCGTACTGCCGTACATGGTACATCAACTGTCGGAATTCGCTTATCGGTGCTATCACTATCGTCTCCTTATCTTACGGACAGCGGATTACAACCAAAATAAACGGCCGCTTCGACGACACTATAACGAAAACTGAATGCAATAGTTTCATATTATTTAAATTATTAATTCGTTTTAATTATAACCGCGAGGTGCGATGTTCGCCTCTAAATTGCAGACTCAAAACGAGAACAAAGTAAACTTTAAAATGAAAACTCATGCGGAACTACAGGAATTGTACGAAAGGCAACGCAAGATCCTCAGTAACGGGTATATGATTTATTCTAGAACTGTTGGCAATTTTAAATCGTTACTAGAATGTTGAATTTTTTGTTGTTGGTTTTTCTAGACCATTTGTCGAGGGATTGCCCGACAAAGGCGAGAAACTAAAGCAGTTCATTGCTCAGCTGGACATAGAACTAAACAAACGCAACATTCAAAAGAAGCTGTGTACAGATATGTTGGCGTTGAACATTGGCAATGATCAGTTGGATACTCTTGAATGGACCGGTCAACATGTTACGGTACTTAAGGTTAATCAGCCAGATTCCATAGTCGACGATGAAGATGTATTGAGAATGTTTGGTTCACATTCTGGAGTTAATAAACACAAAATAATCATTGAGTACTTATCTTATTCGTTAAGTAATTTTGTCTATATGGTTTATAATTAAAATGTTTAATTGTCTTTCAGAGAGATACCAGAAAAAACATTGATCAAACCATCAGATTTAATTGAGAAAGATTTGATTGAAGAAAAAAAGCAAGATTACGATTCCATAGGATTCTCAGAAAATATGGAACGTTATGCTAAAAATTTATGTGGTCGTATCGACACTCACTTGCCAACAGAAAAAAGGCATTTTTTATTAAATAAGCCGGCTGTACCAAACAAACATAGTGTAGTTAAATCAGGGGATGTAAGCCTCAAGGAATCTGTGATGTTACAAGTTGCTTACGACAGTAAAATTAAGGTAAATGCAGAACTCTAACTAAGAGTATTGAGGTGTATGTTAAAGGACTTATACTGAGGGCCCCTTTAATTAACATTAGAACTTTTCAATTCAGTTAAAATATTTATTTAAATTAACTAAGTTTAAGGTTAAAATTAAAACTTACACTTATACTTATATTTACATGCATACAATGTACTGGCTGATCACATTGTTGCTCATTAAAAATCTCAATTATATATGATTCAAACTTTCTTCAATTCGTTATTTAATTTTTAGTGTAATGGTGTTCAAAACTTAAACATTTTCATTGGCCATCATGAATTTAAAAATACTTGTGCAACACTTAGAAATGCAAATTTTGGAAAATGCTCTCTTAGTGCACACTTACATGGTTGTATGAAGGTATCTTGAAACTTTGTAAAACGTGTATTATAGATTTCAGAAATATAATGGTTATTTGTTGTACAACATATAATGTTACACAGTATTAGGTCCTACAAAATATAAAATAACTAGTTGTTCAAATTATTTTTCTGATAATACTATTAGTACGTATCATAAAACAGCTGTCTGGATAAGCAAAGTCTAGACTATTCCAGATTAATGAGATTCTGCTGTATAGACAAAAGCAATCATTTTTTTATAAATGAAATTATTTAAATAACATTAAAATATAACATGTTTGAAATAATTAAAAAAGTATAAAGTATAAAATTACAAAATATAGCCAATAAGCAATGTTAAAAAAAGAAAATTCATGTTCATATGAGTTGTCAAAAAAGTATCATTCTATAATTTAGAATAAATAATTAAACGCGCCAGTAAGAACTGATGTTTATTTTATTATTATTTATTAGCTGTTCCAGGGCACTTTGTTGCCTGTTAAAAATGCCAATTGTTGACATGAATGTTATAATTGATAATTTTGCAAACAAAAGGAGTAGATAAATAATTTTTAAAGTACTTAACAGCAATTATATTTAACCTAATACTCCAATAAACTTCACAATAATGCTAATTAAATGTATAAATATACAATTTTTCACTTATTATTTTTGTTTTTATCAAAAAGCTTGACATAAATGAAACATTTTTATGTTAATTGTGTATCTTATTTTTTAGAGGAGCACAATGGTTTTGTATGTATAGGCCCTTTCCTAATTCAGTTGTGACACTGTTTAGAGTTTATTTTAACTACCAAAACATACAAATTTTTAAGTATATTGGGTTTGCTGTTTTAATGCTGGGCCGTTTAAAAAATGTATTAATTTAATGGTTCAATAAAATTGATTATTGAATTGATCAATCATGGGTTACTAAATCTTGTTTAAGATTACCATTATCTCACTATTGGTTCTTTAAATGCTACATAAATGTTGACACAACCCGTCTTTAGCCAATCATTGTATTCAATAAGGTTTTGTTAGAAATATTCAGTGCTTGTCTAAAAAGTGTTTTGTTTGAAAATTTGAATTATGTTTTTTATTTTTAAGGATTTAAAAGCTGAACATTTGAAAAAAAAACCAATTCCAAAGTTTGATACAAGTAATTATCGTAATACAAGTATGCTCAACTTTGATAACATTCTAGAAGACGAGAGTGATGAAGATAATGACATATTTGGTAATGACAGTGATGCATAATTTAAGATTTTGTTTTGTAGTTTTTAGTTCCCTTGTAAATAAATAAAATGTAAAAATTTGTAATAATTAAAATATTGGTTAGGTTAGATATGGGTTTTAAATTTAAAATAAATATTTTATTTTTATTACTTTGTGTAGGTATGCTTTAAAATATTTTTTCTTCTTGTAAAAATCATTTGATATTTTGATAACCATATATTATAATGGAGATCACTCAAAAAAAAAAGAGATTGATTATTTGTGTGTTGTAAAGTATTTACCAAATGCTATAATGACAGAGCAAAAAATATTATTTTTATTTTTATTTATAAAAGTTAATTAATAAATGTATCGTTTTATGATCATTTGTATTTAAAATAATTATCACTTATAGTTTGAAAATAATTTAAGTTAAAATTAAAATTTTAAAATTGTTTATAATTTGTATTTTTCCACACCATAATTATTTGATTAAATACCTTAAGTTTAAGTGCCTACATTATTGCACTATATAAATGTTGAAAATTAAAATAAGTGGTGTTTTATTTTTTTAATTATAATAATAATAATAATAATAATAACTATTTATTAAATAATATATAAAATGATTGCAAAATACAAACAATTGATTTTTCTACCTTCTGTTTACAAATAAGTCTTTATGTATTAACTGAGTAGTGTTAGCTGTATGCTTGTATAGTTATGATAGTTTAGGGTGTTCATATTTTCATAATGCAAGTAGGCACAATTGCACGAGGCAAATTTTTTGTGGTTGACTTTATTGTAAGTTTTAATAGTTAAATATGTACATATTTGTTTTTAACATTTATAAAATAATCTGATAATGTCCTACACTTTTCAATACTTCTACATTATGGTAATTCTAAGTAGAAACTTATTGTTAGTCATGGAGGTAAGTGATTTTATGTTATTACAATAGTATGCATAAAATTCATTAAAGACATAATATATATTATTATATTATTATGCAAGAGTAGTGCAATATTAAATAGGTATTAGTAAATTGAATCGAAGCTCCCATCAAAACCTTTTCATGTATAATTTGATTTTTAGGAAATGAAAACAAGTTTAAATAAAAAGAACAATTTAAACAATTTATTCACATAAATCAAAATGTAATATACTCCACAAGAAATCAAAACACATAAATGAATAATAAATATGTAACAATAAAATATGTGATGAAGTAATTCAAACATATTTAACTTTACTACTGGGCGATTTACCTCAAGACGATTCTAAAGGCATACCAACATAGGCACATATTCCTTTTACACACAAATAATGAGAAAAGGTTTTAAATTCTAACATAGATGGCTGCTTGACTTACACTTAGTTTGATTACACGAGAAAAAACAATGGCTGTAGTATACTGTGGTCTGTAACCTATGGGTAGGTACTAGGTACTGTGAACATTGTGTGTATTTTCTAAAACTGATGTCATGAGAAATCAGCCTTTACAAAATTAAAACTTTTATGCATCATTGTATCAATTAATGTGGTATGTTTTTATCAAATATATTATATTACCTATATATTATTATATCATATATATTATACATCATAAATTATAAATGTCTGTCACATTTCAAAAAAAATTGTTTTTTAAAAATTCGTATGTATCATTCATAGTCACAGCTGTAAATTAAGTATAGCGATAATCACAACGATTCCAAAATATTATGTTTTAATTCCATTCGGAAAAAAGAACTTATTTGAAGGAAAGTATCCAATACCTACAGTAAAATAGAGTAGGTACACGGAATGTACTCAAATTGGTACTTGATATTATCAATAGGTACTACTATTATCAATCTATGTAGGTACCTACTTATATAAAACAAATCTAAGAACAAAATATTGAAACGTAGTTTAAATATAATCCAGGAACGAATTTTACTACAAAAAGGTGGGCATGTGGGTAGGTACTTACCGCCCGGCTACATACTCATTAGGTGTCATTAGATTCTGAGCGAAGACGGTTGTCAGCCTTTATAATATTACTATAAGTATATCTATACAGTGGCGTGCTCAGGAATTTTGAATGGGGGGGGTTCACCTTTTTTTTAATATAATATTTTAATCAATGAATATTTATAACAAATCATTATGTAATCAAATGTAAAAACTATATTTAAAAAT